AAGCGAAGTTGTGACTTGTAGGGTTCACTAGATAACGGAGGAAAAACAATGAAGAGTAATGCTGCTATATACGAAATGAGTTGGGTCAGAATAAAGAGGTCTGATAATACAAACCCATTGGCTGAATGGTTTACCTTGTAACCTGAAGGTAATGGGTCTCATCCTACTTGAGGTCCCATGTGCTCACTGTTGAGCTAACCAGTACTCCTTACCTTTTAATAGTTCTTTAATTGACGTCTACTCATGACGAAATCTGATGCAAAGTGACAGGAGTTAGAGTTCATGGGCTATTGGGTTCGTTCCCAGTGGCTGGATGGTCAATGGGTTAGCCTAGTAACCTGAAGGTTATGGGTTCAGGTTTTTATGGGGTCACTGATGTTTACTACTGAAGAATCCTACACTGGGTCGAAACAGCTGTTCAGTACTCCCTGGTTTTCAGGGATTCTCTAACTGATATCAATTCCTGATCTAACTTGAAATCTACTTTGGATGATTCTGTAGGTAAAGAAGTGTAAAGTGGAATTTTCCAGATACCTTCGTCATTGCTGATGAGGGTTGACTTGATCTATCTTTGTTGTTATATGTGCTTCCAATAGGGATGTCTTGATATTGCCTGTATTCATATCTTCATTGTATATTAAGTGGTGAAATCCAAACCACGAATTTCTCCCCTTTTGACACTAGTCAGATGGAAGCGCTTGTATCTTCATAATTACTATAACTGAATAGTCTAGAGGATGATACTTTCCCTTTGGAAGACAGACAGATGCTAAGCTAGGGTTGAAATGAGGCACTGACGTCTAGCGCACGAGTCTTATTAGATAAAACTTAAATTCTGAATTTTACCACTAGCATCTGTCAAATATATAAGATGGAGGATTTCATCATGAGCTGATATCAGTTAGACAACCATTGGAAAACCTGCAGGGAGTACTGGACAGTTGTTTCCTCAGTCCTAGTTTGGGACTCTCCAGCAGTACGCATCAACCGCCAGGGTTCGAGCCCAGGACCTTCTGGTTTTAAGTCGATCTCGTAGACCATTAAGCCACTCAATGGGACCCGATCCAATGGCCAGCCAGTCCATGAATTCTAACTTCTGCTGCTGGATTCAACATAGAACTTGGCACCGAGGTGCGGCAGTTCGAGTTGCCACGTTCCAAATAGCACACAAAGGTAGACAGGAAAATGAGTGAAGAGAATCAATAGAATTTAGATAAGTATAAGTGTGAAACAGAATGAGTAATGGTAGAAAGGAATATGAAGGTTAAAGAGACTGAATACATCTGCGCTAGCCATTGACAACGATTTTGAGCCATGTCACCTATTGTCTCCAGCCATTGATTCTTAGAGTCCCGAGAGACCCAAACCCGGAAGTCTACATCTCCCTACCTGACTCAGTTTAACTGTCAGGGATTTCATGGATTGATGCCATGTTTTTGTTTGGCCACCACTTACTCTTTCCCAACCTGCACCTATATCAGCTAGTAATGCCCGTCCGTTGGGGGAGGCGATGGTTAGGCATGCGCAGCACGTGACCTAACCATCTCAATCTATGTAACTTCATAGCCTCTTCGATTGATTTTCCCTCTTTGCCCAACACTCTACGCCTAACGTCAACATTACTTACCTTATTATACCACCTAACACGAGAAAGAGATCGTAAACATCTGTGGTCAAAAACAGACAATCTCTTCATGTCTTCCGCTCTAAATGGACACGTCTCACCGCCATAGAGAAGTACGGAGCGAACTGCTGAGCAGTATACACGTCCCTTGGTTGACAGCCGGATGTCACGCCTACGCCAGAGACGGTGTAAGTTAGCGAAAGCAGCCCGAGCTTTCTGGATCCGTGCTGAGATTTCGTCGCCAATCAGTCCGTTGGTGCTGATACAACTTCCCAAATAGGTGAAGTGGTCAACATGTTCTATCACTTCACTCCCTATCACTAAGCTAGGAGTTGACGTAGTCCAGTCAGTCCTGTAGCAGCATCTTACATTTTACAGGGGCAAATCGCATGCCAAACATACAAAGATTGCTGCCAGTTCACGACATAGCGCGACCATTCTGCAATGTCTTCTTCGATGAGTTACTGTCTTATCTTGCCTTGTAACCAGAAGGTACTGGGTTCGAACCCTGGTGGGTGCGTACTGTTGAAGAGTCCCAAACTAGGATGAAACAGCTGTCCAGCACTCCCAGGTTTCCCAGTGGTTCTCTAACTGATGTCAGCTCATGATGAAATCCTCCATCCAATCAAACAAAATCCCTACAAAACCAATACTTGAAAATATATGAGAGTTTGTAACTTGAGGATATTTACATTCCTCTCTGTTTCATAAGTTTGCACCACATATAACGGCGATGTTTTCTTGAATAACTGTGTAATAAGCTGTATTTAGTCCGTTCTATGTTTTTTTACAACTCATTTCCAATCATTTATTCTCTGGTCTCTTATCTACTATTTCCAAGTGATTATTCATCACCTAACTAACTGAATATCAACCGTGTTGATTGCTCAAGATTAGTCTCAATCTCTCAAAAACGTAGTTATTACTCATACACTTTGATTCACTTTGTTACTAACTGGCCATAAACTTTGACTACTATTGTCAATCTGCAATGCATACATAAATCCCCTAAATAACTCTACAGCTTTGAAGTGAAGTTGTGAAAAGAGATCTCTTTGTCAACTGACGTGTTCTTAATTACATGAAGTGGGAATTTTTTATATCTTCAAGAGACCTATGAATTGTAATTTCTGTCATTTCGTGATATAGTACGTCCTCTCACCAACAAAATTTACGATGAAATCACTCAAATCTTTATTAACCTAAAGATTGAAAAAATTATTTAATACTGATTCAACAGTGATTAGCTGTGGGATTGAATTCCTAGAATTCTACAAAAAAATCATAATACATGGAATAATGAGGACAGACACTCACCTATGACACTTGCTAGAGATGGCGCTACATTGTGAAATAAAAGAAGGCAGAATTCATGGCTCACTGGGTCTTAAGTGATTAGCTGAAAGGTGACCTGCTGGTCACATAACCTGAATGTCCTGCCTTTATCTCCTGGTGGGGTCATAAGTGTACACCACTGAAGAGTTCAAAGGAGGGATGAAACAGCTGTTCAGTACTCCATAGATTTTAATGATTTTCTAACTGATGTCGATTTGTGATGAAATCTACATTATATCACGTCAGTTATATTATTCTGTCGACACTGTCACTAAATGAACTTCATTTTCTACAAACAAACGTTTATATGTCGAGCTAGCTATTAAACTATACAGTATACTTAACCTGACCTAATGTTCAATAGCACTCGCCAAATATTTGGTCTGTTTGAATCAGTTTAAATCGACGAAGTCATAATACACTAATTGGAAACAAATACGAATATGCTGGATTTTTTTTAAAAAAAGATATGATTATGAAAGTACTTTTGTAACAACAAAATACAAGGGTCAGGCAACAGATCGTTTATTAAGGAAATCAAAGCATATTTATATATTTTCATGTACATTACTATGGTTATTTAAGCAAACAAACACAGTCTTCTGATTGGTTGTTTCTCACTTAAAGTTAATCTTTCATCTCTTTGTGACTGTTTCTTGAATGTCAGATCATCTATATGTTAACTGCATCCGCCTACGCAAAGTCTGCTGTGGTCGGTTTTGAATCAATCTTTGTTCACATTTTCTCACGACAAATCTTGGGAACGTAAATATTGACGTAAATTACTGTCTACCAATTCGGCTAGTAGACAGCTCTCACCACACTTTCAGTATGAAGCGTATTGTGTTAACTGTGAATTATTTACAGTATGCAAATAAATTAAATTCATTGTTTTTTAAATACAAGATGAAGTGAAACAGTCTGCTTCATTTTGAAGATTAGAAATCGATAATTCACTTGGAAGGTTTTCAATGGAATCTCATCACCAGATCTCCCTCATCACCTATCTAAACCCAATAGATGAGTTAGAAATTTTGACCACAATGGTTTCAGTAAACTTAAATTGGCTACCTAAGAATGTCACAACAATTACTTTTTGAAAGACCTTATTTTGTAAATTCCCGTGAAAGCATAATATCTGATAATTGAAGTGATATGCGACGGGTAGCTTAAGTAGCATTCGCACGTAAGGGCAATACAACTCACCTCTCTCCATCTATACCAAGACCGTTTATAAGAATCCGATGATACATCTAACTACAATAAAAGGAATAAATAGTAAGCTTTGAATAGAATTTTATACTTTTGAACACTCATCAGTGAGACATAAACATATGTCGCTACTACTTATTGCTGTTGTTATTATCCCATTGGGTTCAGAATTGAATAATAAAGCCTCAGCAGTTCACTGCCATTTCATTCTATTCTCTGTAGTCATTTCTAGCTGGCTCCATAATTGCCCATAAACTTTCATTTCCTCTACACACGATCTTTTCTATGACACTCTGAGATGCCCAACACGTCGTTACTCATTCGGATTCAACTGGAAGGCCTCACCGTATCATACTTTCGTTTTCCTACAACTATACACATCTTCAATTGGTGGATGGTGACAAGCAGTGGAATCCAGGATGCACATTTCGTCCTGTTTGGGACTCGTCATCTGGATGTACCTGCATTCCCCAGTGAGTTAGTGTGATGTTCCCACCGAGGCTCGAACCCAGTGGTCATAGTTTCAAACACCGAAGCATTATCCACTAGACCACTTGGGCCACGAGCGCCACTGCTAGTCACCATCCACCAATTAAATTCTAATTACATGTCCAGACATCGTCGAAGCATCTGCACAAGAAGCCGACATGTCAACCTGAGACCGAGCACTTCGGTCCAATCAATCGACGGGAAAATCTAAAATTCAATTAAAATATACACATCTTCGCTTATTTTCTTTATTATATTTTACAGTTTCACTTTCAGTCTCTGTTGTCTTGTAAAGAACTTTACTTTTTCTACTTTTTTTTTCTAAAATCACTCTCTTTAGGTAGCGATCAAAATGAATCGTTTATACAAAGAATCACGAGAACTAGCCAGAAGGAGTAGAAATGAAAAGAAACAAAGTTTAAAGCTACATCGGAGAATTTCTTCCCAATATAAAAGTAATGATTTACCTCTGGATAAAGTAGAAGAAGGAAAAGGTGAAGATGAAACTGAAAAGGAATTGAATAGTCATCCAAATGAAATATCTGAGGTTGATGTGGAAACAGTAAAGGAGCAAATACCATCACCGTGGTTACCAGTTATTAATCCAACTAAATTTGTATCCTTAACCTCACATTTAAATACATCATCTAATACAAAAGCAGAAACTAATGATAATGTGAAACCAGATTTGGATAAAGTAAGTTGATTGGAACTTCCCCTTAATATGCAGAAGATATCTGCCAAGCCTTTGACTTATTTAAAATTACCTATGTAGGAAAAATAACTAAAGAGCATACAGGTTGCCAGTTGACGGAATATAATTATGAATTCGTGTTATGTGTATATGAATAGTTCGCCTGATTATTGCGCAAAAAAGTATCCGTGTACACAGTACAATGGTACCATTATTGAATTAACCACATCCTTTTTGATAATCAATGCAATTCATCGATATTCTCATGATCCAAGGTAGACGCTAAGTAGCATTGAACCTGACAAAACAGCTAGTCCATAAGAATCCCAATACTTGAAAATTCATCTGATGCTCACTAGCGACTGGCCCTATTCAAGCAGTTAGCCTGAGGTTCTTCCACCCAGAGAGGATGTAAGTTATTCTGAAAGCACAGGAGCACTTTGTTAATAAATAGTTGTGACCAACATAATCCTGAATTAGGGTTCATTCCACTCACACTTCAGTGGCTGATTATATACATATATATATTATAATAAGCACAAACGAAACGTAGACATCACGATCTAATTTCAAATGAATTTCAGTTTTCATTTTTGTGTGTAACTATTCTGTGAAATCAATCAATGTAACAAATTACAATTATCTGACCACCTTTTTTTTACTAACATTTGACTCTACATATCAAATTGAACATGTAATGCAATTGTTTCCATTCAGAATTAGTCACAGTTGGTAAACATGAGATTTCAAAAATCCTAGTTGCAGTTTTTTGCTTTGAAAATGAATTACCCTATTATACAATGTAAGAATAACTTATTACCCCTCAGAATAAATTATACCATACAACAATGATTTAAAAACCTAGAATTACATTATCTTGCCTTTGTCACTCGACCAACAATCGTGTGAAAACAGTGTCGAATTCATTGGAGAAAGAAGACGAGGATACATTGATGTCACAGAACTATTTCTAGACACATTCATCAGAAGACTTCTGAACATCATCGTACATGGTTAAGCAAGGTCTATTCGTAGCTCTGTTTTAGTTCACCATGTAGATACTGAACAAAATATTTAAAGTTATCTTCTGTATTCCCACTCGTCTTTATTTTACCTTTATGAGTTCATCTTCTACATAAGGCTAGAACCATCAAAGTACACCTGAAGAAGCTTAACTTATGTATTCAGAAGAAGAAGTTCGTACAAACGCTTTTCTAATCTCGTACATTATTATAAGATTGTAAAATTCTGAGAATTTCCCCTTTCCCCTAGGTATTTTACAAGCTAATATTGTTTGAACTGTCTTTAATTGTCGCAAAAATTTTCGTCACAAAATTTCAACCCTAAAGATAGGGCTTCTAGTTGTAAAGTAGACAAGCTGACGGAGGAGTGATTGGAAACAGATTTATTGGGATCGATGGGGAACTTCCTCTGTACTTCGACGGATTTGAGACTCCTGTTCAAATCTGATTTGACATTCTCAGCTTGTTTGCTTTGCACCAAGATAACATATTCATTAAATGATTCTCTTTCACTTGATGATAGTTCGGAAGGAGCAGAAGACCTCTGTGATATATTTCTCTGCAACTCGAATATACGCGAGCTAATAGAATCAATAAGGTTTCTAGTGTGACGTTGGAGAGTTTTGGAATTGGGATAAATATGATGCCTTCGGAGTGCCTTCCAGAACCACTTCGGATATCGATGATTCTTAATGCAGTTTTCAAAGAAGTCCAATTTCGCATTCATTTCGGCAAGTTTGACAGAGTAACGCAGAAACCCTTTGAGTTCCTTCACTGTCGTAGGATCCTTGCATTTTTCAATCACTCCTCCGTCAGATTGTCTACATTACGACTAGAAGCCCTATCTTTAGGATTGAAATTTTGTGACGTAAATCCATAAAGTAACAGACTGCACAGGTATATCCAATTCGCAAAAATTTTCCTCCTAATTTTATCTATGCATCAGTGGCACAGCGGTAGAATGCTCGCCGGCCATGTATGTCGTCCGGGGTTCGATTCCTGGCCGACGTACTCCTTTACCTCGCTAAGCCAGTAATAAGACTGGTAAAAAGGGAGGATTGGGCATTAGGCTAGCAACCTCATCCCGTAAAAATAAAGACCACTGCTACCGAAACTTCAAGCCTCTAGCTTGAAGCCGAATTTTCCTCTGGGAACTTAAAGGAATAAAACTAATAAAAAAATTATCTGATATTCAATTTAGGATTATGTTTTCATGCATATTATCAGTTACACATACACTTTTAAACTGTAATCTACAGATCTTAACAACTCAATATTATTTCTAAAAAATATCAATGTTATCAATAACAATTATCATTTAAATATTATATTTATTATAACTTTTGAGCCAGATGATGAAGTCATAGAAAAAAATACTCTTCACTCAATCTTTTTGTATTCTAAACAGAAGTAGATAAAAATTAGGAAACGCAATTAACTCAAACTAGCAAACATCTGCAGGTGAACATAGAGAAGACGGATGTGATGAAGATAATCAACGAAACGCAACAACAACAACAATAACAACCATCACCAATCACCATCAACGGGAGAGATTTAACAGAGGTTATCTCCTTCACTTATCTAGGAAGCATCTTTTCAACTATAGGCGGAACGGGTGAAGATGTCAAAGCCAGCCAGGATCCGAAAGGCAAGATACACCTTCATCAACCTGAAACCAGTTTGGAAATCTTCTGCACTGAGCATAAGGAACAAGATTCGGATTTTCAACACCAATGTCAAGTCGATCCTTCTATATGGGTCAGAATCCTGGTGTGTAACGAAAAGGATTTCCATTAGGTTGCAGACCTTCATCAACAGCTGTCTTTGCTCCATAATGAAGATCAAATGGCCAGAAAGAATAAGTAACAAGAAACTGTGGGAACAAACCAACCAAGAGCCGATCGCTCAGCAAATATGTGGGAGAAAATGGAGATGTATCAGTCATACATTGAGGAGACCGTCAAATGACATCGCACGCCAGGCACTCGAGTGGAATCCCAATGGGAAGCGACGAGTGGGTCGTCGGTGCGAGGGTGACATAAAGGAGATCGTGTGAGGAAGAGATGAGAGAGTTTGGGTAATCTTGGACCCAGATGAAGAGGATGGCAGAAAACAGAAGAAAGTGGAGATGTGTTGTTGAAGCCCTATGTTCCATTCGGAACCCAGTGGAACAATAATAATAATAATAGTAAACATCTTCAATAAATTTCAAATATAATCACTTGGCAGTATACAAAAGAAGACATGCACTGACATAAATACTATCCATTAAGCAATCAAGCTGTTTCAAATGTTCAATAAGCGTGAAATAGACAATTTAACATAATATTTGACCTTCAAAAAAACTTTATCGTATAAATTAAGAAGGCAGCTGTGTAGAACAGATTATTTATTAATAGAGAGAAGACCAGTAGTTCAGCGAAGAGTCTCTTTTCGGCGAATTCATTTTCATAGCTGTACAATCGCACTTATATATACTTGTTTTTGTATGTATGTGTATATTAAATTTGTCAAACGAAAATACGATTAGTAAGTTCTTCGTGGAGTTATGTAATACAGAAAGCTTTCAGAGGAATTGGATGTTGATATAAGAGGGTAGTAACAAAAGTGATGAGTTGTCACAAACGATTGTTAAAGAAGAGTTACGTAATAACATGAATAGTATGATGAAAGAGTTGTGCTCAGGGTGTACATGGAAACAAAATCAAATATGCAATCGCGTAAGAGTTTTAAATAGTTAGAAAAAACAAGCAAACAAGCAAAAGTTAAGTCAAATCAACAGACTTGCTACCATGATAGTAGAAGTGGCTGAATAATTTTCTTTTATATGCATAGTTCTGGTTCTTCTAACTGAATGGCTAGGGCTTCTGCAATGCAAAGAAGACGGATTGTACAGCTATGAAAATGAATTCGCCGAAAAGAGACTCTTCGCTGGACTACTGGTCTTCTCACTATTAATGTTCGAATGGGGATTTTTCAAGAATATCTATTGTTATTCAAGTATTGGTTGGTAGGGATTTGGTTGATTGGTTACAGGATTTCATCATGAGCTGAACATTGGTTAGAGAACCATTGGAAAACCTGGGAGTACTGGACAGCTGTTTCGTCCTAGTTTGGGACTCTTCATCAGTACGCACCCACCGGGGTTCGAACCCAGGACCTTCTGGTTACAAGGCGAGCTCGTATACCATTAAGCCACCGGGACCCGATCCAATGGTCCATGAATTCTAACTTCTGCCAATTCACGATATAGCCCAACTGCTAGCCAATGTCTTCGAACGCCGGTGGGTGCATACTGATGAAGAGTCCCAAACTAGGACGGAACAGCTGTCCAGTACTCCCAGGTTTTCCAATGGTTCTCTAACCAATGTCAGCTCATGATGAAATCCTGTAACCAATATCTATTGTTTTCCACAATGCGCCATAAAAAACACTATTTAACGATAGAATAAAACTAGTGTCCCCATCTTTCATTTCATTGCATTAAGATGGTTGTGAACATTGCTTCAGGTGGAAATGAAAATATTTTTCAACTCCCAGTGGAAGGGTTTAAACTGAAGTAGTCACGTCTTAGCTCTAATCAATAGACAAGCCTATCCACTTAAATGGAATAAATAGTTTAAAACTTCGTTGTACTTTTTAGCTGGAGGTTTTAAAAAAGTGTTGCCTAGACAGCGATAACTTAAAGTTAAACAAAACTTTTTGATTCTGATTTAACTTTAAGTTGTTTAATGTTTAATATTTATCTTCTCTTTTGAATTTATTTTTTTCTGCCTATCATTTAGCCAGATATACCCAAATGGCTTGAGAAAGTGAAAGAGGAGATAAAGAACAGTGAAGAACAGGTACCAATTCCTACTCTGAAAATCGATACATCAGCTAGCGAAAGTAAAAACAGATATAACAATTACATCCGTACAAACAGAGATACTCGTCGAAGTGTAAACTATACAATTATAAGGCATAGAGAAAGTCGATTGTCTCATTTGAAAGCAGCTCTAAGCGAAACACCAATCGCCTATTTATGGAAAGATAATTCTGCAACTTCGATATCATGCTTACGACAAGCCAAGCTGATCTGTTCAAAATATAGAGATTTTGATTTACAAGCAAAACGTTGTATTCCCGGCTCTGTTGGTGGTATATCAAGCGACTTCTTGGAAGCTGTCGCCTTGCCTAAACCTGCTTTGATTCGATTCCCACCGCCAACTAGCATGCACAACTATAGACGTAAGAAAAGGTTGGTTGTAGAAAGACAGCAAATGCAACAGAGTTTGGGGAAATTGAACGCAGTAATCGAAGATATTAAGAAAGTTTTAGGTAAATTCTGCATATTTTTAAAAAAAAGACACATGAAATTACTGCAATTTGTTTACATGTACATATATCATTCCTTATTGAAAACCAAAATTTGCTGCCTAAGGCTGTACATCAGAACCATAAAGGCTGCTTAATCAAACGATAATGTGTGACTAAGCCAGTCATGTTGGCCGACAAGGGATTCAAAGCCAGTTGCTAGTTTATCCCATTAGAATTTAAACCAGTATTAGAGTTCTGAGTCCTAATGGTCTTTATAGAGTGAATTTCTCTGGATCGTGTGTTTTAAAATTCTTTGACATTAGGCTTTGGGAGATTATCTCACAATATCGGTCTGGTTCGCAGTCATATGCAATGAAATTCAGTATGTATGCACTAGGTGAAGCATAGTCTCTATCCTTCTAGCATCAAACAGAATACACCGTTTACATCATGAATCTCACTGACAACAAGTTTCTGACACTGAACCTTTGAGTAGCACCTTTGCCACATGCCCTCTTGAAACAGATATCAGAAATATTATGAATGCTCTGTTGCAAATGTACTGGCTTAGTGAATGTCATTTCCAATCCTAATATGAAGTGATGTATTAACAAATGTCAAAGTCACACAGAGGTTCGAAGAATAACTTCATTATTTTCCGTTCAACCGCTTTACTTTTCGTCTCTATTACGTAAAGTGGGAGTATTTGAACTACTCAGAGAAAATACTTTTGTGACAGAGTTGGGCGTAACATAATTAAAGGTAAGTGTTACTTAGAATACACGTTCTAACTTAACCTAGACCACTGCTGCTCATTTTATAATTCAAAATACACAATATAGAACGATACAGTAGTGTGTCCCCTTAAACGACCAGTCAGAAACGAGAAAACTGTGCATTCATTTGTGAAGGCAAATCATTTTTGATACTTCAGATGTAGGAAGGACATGTCCTGGATCAATTGGAGAAATCAACAGTCTATCAATAGTATTGTACAGAATCTGAGTTATATGAACAACGAACAGACTTCAAGGTTAAGAACATTAAAATGCGTGTCTTTTGGGACTAACATTGTCAAGTATTTGTTAACGAATGTTAATTTGCACACCTAAAACCTGAAAACACAATCTTGGCAAATTTAGGCTGCTATTAATTTATATGCATAAATCACGCTACACTTTCCTACAGATTTCTATAGAAAAGTGTAAAAATTGTGATTAAATATATTTACTCGTGTTTCGACTGGTTAAATTCAAGGTCACCATCAAGGCTAGTCAATCAGTCACTACATTTTCACCAATTATCCAATGAATTTTCTTAAAGAAAGGCTCTAATCAATTTTTAACTCAGACATTGGATACGCTTTTACACATCATTAGAATTATATTAGCTTGAAAGTAATATTGACTGTAAAACTAATTGCATAAAGAGAATAAATGAAGTTCAACTCACTCACTGCTAGCCATTGTCATTGTGCGAATTGAAAGGTTGACATAAGAAATTAATGAGTGAACAGCTGTTGACTTCAGATTTATAATTTGTAGATAAGAAAGACTATTCGTTTTCAGAAGGGAATCGATGTTTATCACCTTGTAATTCTTACTTCCGTTATATTAATTGTCATATGCAGTACAAAAGTAGATATTAAGACATTCTAAAATCTGATATCACAATGTCACTGAAATTGATTGCACAGTCACTTTTCTTACTGCAATTTTTATACTACTCAATTGTCAAAATGAGGGAGGGATACATTTTAGTCCAGAGATTTTGTAGTATTGAAAAAATATTTCACTGCTGTATATGCAGGAACATAAGAGGGTAGCATTTATTGATGGTGACGAGTAGTGGGATCCAAGGTGCAGATTTGGTTCTTTTTGGAACTTGTCAGTTAAATATACCTGCATCCCCAGTGAGCGAGGGATGTTGTTTCCGCTGAGACTTGAACCCTGCATCTGTTATTTCAAAGGCCAAAGTGTGTTATTCACTAGGCCATTGGGCTACGAGTTCAACGGGTATCAGTCGACGATGTCCGAAGAAGCTGCTCGAATGCAGATACATACGGATGATGAGACACGAGTGGGACGAAATGTGCATCTTTGATTCCACTACTAGTTACCACCAACCAAATTAACGTCGTCATACTCTTCTGACATCTTTGAAGCGAACCGAAATAGCAGCCGACATGTTAACAGAGACTGAACATTTTGGTTCAATACAATCGATCAATAGTTAATGCAAATTAGCATAAAAACAAACAATAAGGGTTGTATTTAAATCAGATATACTCATCTGTGGATATGTATACATGTAACGACAGAAGGCAAGAGTCAGGCAACAGATCATTTATTAAGGAAATCAGCGCATATTCATATATGTTTTCATGTACATTACTATGGATATGTAAACAAACAAACACAGTCTTCCGATTGGTTGTTTCTCACGACAAATCTTGGGAACGTAAATATTGACGTAAATTACTGTCTACCAATTTGGCTAGTAGACAGCTCTCACCACATACATAGTTAAAGATTAAGCTGGCTAAATATGTCTGGAAACCCTTAGTTATCACATTAGTAGGTATCGATTAGCAAGTTGCACCTGTAACCTAGATGAAATTCATTGATATCTGTGTCACTCAATGTCCAGACAATATGTTGTGCAAAACATACTTCAAGAATGATTGCACAATCAAGCCTCACCGAATGCAAAAATGAGTATAATTGTTCTTGAAGTGATCTATATCCGTTCTGAATAGATCTAAGTCCCGATAGTTGCCTCTAAACTTCATAAGCAGCCATCAGAATCACTTAAAAGTTTTGTTCGAATTAATCATTCCCATGTAGAATATTTCTTCAGTCTTCATTCTAAACTATAGAACTTTACAGCCACACCTTCCCAAAAGTAACATTGATAGACAAGTTTTTTTGTTGAAACAAACCCAATTTTACTTTTATATACGTTAGTCCATCAACTGTTAGACAGATACTGACATTTTCTTACAGCTATATCGTTGACTTTATCCACTCTATGTAGTTCATTGGTAGAATGTTCACTGATCACCCAAGTGGTCCACATTAGAATTCCTACCGACGCACTCTTAAACATTCCCTAGCCGTTAATACACCCAAAGAAGTGAGAAGGTTGGGCATGAGGCTAGCAATCCAATTGTACTGAAACCTCAGAGCTTGAAGCTCTATGTTCCACTCGGACCAAAGATATATACATACAGCATAACGTTCTAATCTTAGTGCGCAGTATGTCTTTCTACAAAGTTCATACATTGAACAATTCAATGTTGTCTATGTGTAAATGTTATTTGATCATACACAATATATATAAATAAATATTTAAGCAGTATTTTCGTTAACCTTGAAAATCACTGGCTGTTTATTCACCTTGATGACCTTAATTATTATTAGTAGGTTATATATATTAAACTGAAAGAAATAAAATACAACTGTCTAATTGATGTGAACTTATAGAACTTGCCATCGATATAGAATATTTAAAATTATTGATTTACCTATTGAATTAGCATTCCATTGACTGAGAAGAATATAAAAGATGTCTTGTTTCTTTTGAGTTTCTATTTTTCTACATATATTTCATACGAGTTTGACCATGGATTGATATCGGTGGATGCGTACTGCCGATGATTCTCAAACTAGGATGAAACAGCTGTCCAGTACGCCATACTGGTTTTCAATGGTTCTCTAACTGATATCAATCCTTGGTCAAACTCGTATAAACATATCTAATCCTTACAAACCAAACTTTAACTGATGTCAGCTCATGATGAAATCCTCCATGCAATCAAACAAAAAATCCCTACAAAACCAATACTTGAGAATAATTTATCACTTATATCTTATATGAAGCTTTCATGGATTTTTTTTTTGACACTTACAATGTTTAGATAAAGCAATAAGAAGATGTAATTTGTTTGACTCGTGTAATGTGTATTTGCGCAACACATTTCGAACAATCTGATCACACATAGACTTCTCATAGGAATGTATATGAAATTAATAAAGAGTTAAAAGGTGAGAAAATAGACTTGGGTCAAGTTAAGATGACATATTCAAGGTCAAAATAACAATGAAGATCACTAAACCAAATAGCGGAGGTAATAGTAAATCTGCTATGGCATCAAAACAAAATTTACCAAGGAAGGTTTAATGTGATGACGAATTGTTTTTGAACGCATAAAGGTGGTTTAAACTTTCTAGGGATTCCACAAACTTTAGGATAAGCCCCAAACACTTTTATAGATAGGTTTAAGGGATGTGTAAACATCAATTTTATCTCCTGTCTCTATAATATGTTTCGCAATAGAGGAGCTAGGTCTCCTGTTCTTACCATTAATGGGTTCTGAAGATTCCATTTGTTTTTGGAGCAATTTAGGAATATGCTCTGAAGCCCTTACTTGCAGAAATCGATAAGTCCTCCCTATGTATATGTGTCCACACGTACATTCAAATTGGTAAATACAGTGGGATGTGACATCATTTTTCGCATGTTCGAAGGGCTTAGATAGATATGTTTATTTATTTTTTATTTTTTATTACAGCTTGATGCCACACCGTATTTTTAGTACAAGTATGGAATTTTCAGCATGGATATCGGTAGCCCAAATTTTGCAGGCCGACCATAGATATCTGGTGTGCGTCGGCAGGGAATTGAACCCTGGACCATGTGCATGGTCGGCAAGAGTGCTAACCACTGTGCCACCGACGCACATTCTCAATTATTATGATATTAGCTGCATAAAAAGTCTTTTTAACAGCAGCGTCCAATCTTTGTCTAGTTATCAAGCTGCTATGATGCCCCAGATAGGGTAGCTTGATGTACACGTCTTTCTTAGGGACGAGTTGTAGAGTGGGTCTTTATCTAAATTCATAAAGGGAACTAATTGTTTTAAATTCACTATGTTAGCATCTTTCTGTTGATTTTGATTTTATACACATTTTACCAACTGATTAATATAATTCACCATTTGATAAAAAAGAATTACTAAAACTATCATTGTAAGTGGGTTTTTATTTCAAAACTAGAATCGTATGTTCCCACTAGAAATCATAAATTTCCTTTCAGTCTACAACCATTTTCACCATGAAACTAGAATACTGTGTAAATAATACTTGCTTGTTTTAATCCTAGAGAATAAAATTTCACTTGCCAAGTAGCTGGTGTGTGTGTGTGTGGAAATCACCTACTGAACGAGTATCAGTCATTGATATTCATACTAGTCATCTTCAACCACTTACATTTATCAACACCAGTTAGTTACCTTCTGGTAATCTCCGACTGGAGATTGTGTGATTGATTCGCCAATACTTCAAAAATCTTAAGTTTAGATACACCCATGAAGGGGATTATTAATGCGCACTTCACTATCGTTAGTCATCGACCCTGTCACTGTATCTCTTGAAAACGAATGATTACAAAGGTGATCTTCAAAAAAACACCAGGCACTTAACATAGGGTAACATTTTATCATTGTCCTGGGAAAAGTATCTAACCATAATGTTAACAATTGGTAGATTATCTATTCAGCTTATGGGACGACATTATTTTGTATAGAGACGTAAACGGTTACACAATATGTGCAAGAAACATAATCCCTAGAGTGGACTTTAAAACCACAACTCACACACAAGTTTCGGAAGAGTATAGTGGATCACATGATACCCAGACAATGTTTGTAATAATGCACGAGGAAACTGTTTAAGACGACACACTTAATACATCAACTAAGAACGAAGGACTGCTTTAAAAGTCATCCTAGCAAATATACTTCCCACAGTTACAAGATGTCAAATTGGTGTTAACATAGCTACACCAAGAAGAATGTCATCTTATTTGCTTAAACATATAGAAATCTACAACACTCTCTTTAAAGGACAAGATCCACATTTTCAACACTAATGTCAAGTTAGTCCTTCTACATGGTTCAGAGACTTAACGCGTATTTCACTTCCAACAGAATGCAGACTTCCATCAACAGTTGCCTTAGATCGATACTGAAGTTCAGACTACCTACCAGAAAAGATACGCAACAAGGATTTATTCAGTGGAACTAACCAATCAAGATCCTGTCACTAAACAAATATATAGAAGAATATCGAGATGGATCGGACATACACTGAGGAGACGACTGCTGAGTGATATTAAGCCAGACAGATCCTAGAGTAGAGCACGAATGGGACCTAGGTGACGACGAGTTAGGCGTTGGTGGAGCCAACTAAAAACTGATTGCAGAGAATAAAATGAAATGCAGATGTATTGCTGAAGCTTTGTGTTCCACTCACTCAGAACCTTAGGGAATAACAAGTAATAATAATGATAGGACTATGACTAGATGTTTTCTTTTCTGGTTACTTAAACAAAATCTACATTTTCACTTTCTCTGTTGTTCTAACATCGGCGATTATGCCTATTGATTACCACTAGTAAGTAACACCATTATAGTGGTGTGCACTGATAGACAGTACGAAATCGAGAATGATAATACTTTTTAGAAACAATGAAGTTGTCCATTAGTTTGCTGAGATCATATGACTTCGAAAGACAGATCTCCTTGTGAATGACGCCAAAGATGATGTCTGTGACGATATCAGATGTCCTGTAGATAAGAACTAGAGTTTGCAAACAACAGAACTATCAAGAAGAGTATTTGTGAGTCACTTAGTTGGCAACAATAACTGAGAGCTTTCATAGATTCCTTCCCAATAGCCTAGGAATCTGATATGGTTACTAAGTAACAATTATCGTAAACGAACAGATGCGTCATTTTAAATCTCTCGAAAAACCCAACTAAAATCAGGTTAAAACCTAAAGAATTACTGAAATTTAGCCTGGCTGCATTGAATAGCAGTGGGCATCATTCAACAGCAAACCCACAAATAATATACAACCTGCAGAAACTATAATCAGTAGCAACTGAACTCAACGACAGGTGAAATGACCTTGAACAAGCAACCACACCTTCCCTTCATAAAAAGAATTCTAGACACACGTGTTAGTGTTTTAATACTAATAATGCAACTGATAGCCTTCCTGGGGAAAAACTACTCGAACAGACCAGTGGAGAGCATATTCTCATCTGTCGTCATCGGGATGTATTTATGTTAAAAGTGAATCATTCCTCAGATTTTCAGACCCTTAAAATGAAATGTACAGTTATTTATACAGATCTATGTATAGAAACTGGTTTCAAATGTCACTAACCACTTCTATGGGAAATTGGGAGACATTAAAGTATATACCACTGATTGATTGAGATGAGTAGTTGAATACCATTTGCATCAGTCAGTAGTGCTTGGCTGTTTCGCTTGTTCGGGACTGAACTCATCAACGGTGAACCTGATTTGACTTAATTCAGACAGCTGAATCAGTTCAAACAACAGTGATACCATAAACCAGATTCTGAATTTGCAATTTTGCGACGATTTCGATAGGCCCATTCAGGGTCACTTTGGTTGCCATTCTCTGTAGTTATCCAATCTGCTGCCAGTAAAATGAACCATCAAACAGAAGTACTGCAATCTTACGCTATTCGATGTATCTGAAGAAAGCTACGAACAACAAAACGAATCCATAAAGAAGATTTGAAAGTATGACTAACCGACTGCTAAACAATTGGACTCAGCGTAAATCTAACATCCCTAATATTCATTCAATTATAAACCAACAGCGGACCAGTATTCTACCTTGAAACGGATAACTTCTCTCTGTACAAAAGGTACGTTGATGACACTTTTATCGTCTGTGATAACAAATGCGACCTAAATAATGTTCTTCAAGTTTTTAATAGCTGCCATCCAGTCATCAAATTTACAGTTGAAGCGGAAACCGGAGAGACAATCTCATTTCTGAACGTCCAACTAACAAAGAAGACTGATAGAATTCTAAAGAGATAAATATATTGAAAGCCCACGTAGAACGGACAGCTGACAAAATTTTACAGTTGGGTACCCATCAATGGCAAGCGGAATGTGATAACAGTTCTTGCGACTAGAATTCGTAGAATCTGCAACCCCAAATTAGTAGAAGAAGAGATCACTCTTTTGAGGGAGACACTACTTGAGAATGGCTATCCACCATTCTTTATACATAAACGCATAAAGCCGAAAACCAACAAAGAACAACCCACCTCAATGCCGAAGATGATATACATGAATGTGGCGTTCAAAGGCGATCTTCTGGCCGACATCCTAAAGAGAAGAATATCTGACGCCCTGAAAAGAACATTCTCTGCCGCTACATTACGATTGGTATTCTCAAGCTGCCCATTGTTCTTCAGCAACTCCAAAGATAAACTATCGCATTTGACCACTTCTATGTGTATTTACCAATTTATTTGCTCATGTGGAGCGAGATATATAGGTCGTTCGATGCGTGTTTTATCTAAAAGAGTCAAAGAACATTATCCCACTTGGCTACGAAAAGGTAACAGTGGGTCAATAAGGAGTGCTATAATTGAGCATATATTCAACACTGGTCACTCAATATGCAAGGAGAATTCATTCAAAGTTATCTACAAAGTCAAAAGAAGCCTCCCTCCCGTTGAAAATGGTAAGCTTCCGCATATTTTGCATTGCCGAGGCCTTAGTGATCCGGATAGAAAACCCTGATTTATGCACACAGAAGAAACTTCTCCATCCCCTCCTTTTACCTTGGGGATAATTCCAAGTTCCAGTACTTTGTTAATAGTGTTTTTGAAAAAAATTTATTTACTCTTTCTACTACATAATTTATTCTGGACACATGTCCCCATTCTCTTTCATTAATATCCTATTTTTCTGGGTATCTTTCATATTACGCAACCCTTGTCAGTACTTACCAATCTTCCCCCCCTAGTTACAGTTTGATTATTCATCACATTTTTGAGACAAATTGACAATCCTAATGTACTCACACACACACACAAAATAATTATCTATAGATGCGATTGTACAGCTAAATGAATGAATTCGCCGAAAAGAGACTCTTCGCTGAACTTTTTTGTTCTTATGATCTAAGAGTCATCAGACGGATGCATTTATGGTGTTATGTAATTAAATCATTATGCTAGCAACCAGGAATTTCACCGAATCAAACTAAAGTAAGATAATTTCCATTAAAAAAAAAAATCACTGGTCAGTGTGACCAATCTATTTATGCACAAACATTCTAGTGATGACTTCATACGTAGTGTAATGCTTAGTAACTTTAAAAGAATGTGTATTATTACATTACTCTCTAATTTTTATCATTTCGTTTTATAGAAAGTCAGAAATTATTGGAAGCATTGAAGTTCTTATTAGCACCCATAACAGAAAATAAGGATGAAAATGGTACAACAAAAGCTCAGTAGCACTGATAGATGTGGTTTTCTTTCTGTGTACATTTATAAATACACATATCACCGATATAACCGACTTTTCATTAAATATTCACATGTATGTATGCAAAGTATTCTGTGTCAGTCTAAGTGTTGAGCCATAAATCATTTTGAAAATGTGTCACGTAAACACTAACAACCGGATATGGGATAATGTACGTGGTATAAAATTCACTTGAAAATTCCATCATATTTTTTTATATTAAGATTATAGGCTTCGTTTCTTTGAATTCTGTGACCTTAAACAAGGAAGTGATACTGTCGCTGAATGATAAAAAGCCAGACATACAGACTGTGAAATCTAACATCTGGAGGCAAAATAACCTAGCTAAAACACTGTAGAAATCCGTGTCCTATCATCTATTGGTCAAAAAGATCAAAAGTGACTTCACTTTAGCAAACTCTTGTCCTTACTAACAGAAATCAAAAGGAATACGTTAGATGGTTGGAGGCAATTGCCATGGACCTAGACCTTGCGCTTATTGACACTTAACCACGAAGTAACTGATTCTCCTGACTAAAATTTAGAGGCGTACTAACTAGAGCTGCAACTGGAGACGTTACCACTAAGCTATTCGGAACTAGGATTGACCTTCTGTAGGACTGTAATGGCTGGTCACTGGAATGTAGCCAGTGTTGCGTGCCTAGTCCTTTTCGAAAGAATTAAAGCAGAAGAACAAACACAGAATATAAGAGGACAGTAGTAAAAACAGGTTACAAGTTATTCGATGACTCCATAAAAGTTGGGCTTTCACACAATGATCAGTAATTAAAAATAGGTTTTCTATAATTATCCTGAACAATTGCAAACACGATATTAAAAGCACGGGAGATGATCATTACCATTTACAAATATCAGAAATCCTGACAGAGGCCAATTAAAGAAAATCAACACCTACTAGTGTGACGTGTGCTACTGATAAGATTCATCAGTAGTATGTACAGACGTTCATCGGCATACAAACATCAAATAGCAGGAAGATACATTTGATGTCATAGAAAGCAAGTGATGCAGCGTTGCGGAGATGCATGGAAGGAACACATAGAAACACAATATGAAGGCCAGAAGTAGCAGGCGCAACACGGTAGATCTGTGCAAATGGTGATTTGAAGATAAGGCGTGCGTAATTTCGCTACATAGTGATACCAAATTTCAAATAAATATTCCTTTACCAAGCCTTTCGTCTTCTACCGTTACACTAGGACTTTAAACTAAAAAGCAGGCATTTTTATACTCCCTTCAGTTCATACATCTGGAACACTAACATAAAGTGCCTTATATAATCTTCACGTGCAACTTTATTCGTTTGTCATGGTACCTGGTACTCAGATGTTTTGAGGTTTCGGAAATACATAGTTCACAATTCAAAGGTGAACAACAACATACCATTACGAATAAATGAGCATAATGATTCAGATCAAACTGTGATACTCAGAAAAGTCTTAGATCAGGAGAATTGACAACAACCTTCAACCAACTGCTCTAATTGACTTGTCATTAAAGTCACAATTCTATATAAGTTTGAAAATATTAATTCTTATCTGCCATAGTGAAAATCAAACATAACTGCGATTTATTTTCAATAGATTGAGAATATGATCTGATTCTCCTGTCTATTAGTAGCACATTAGGCCATTTCCAGGACTGTTTTTCATTCTTTTGTGTACTGAGTGGAACGTAGGACTCCAAGCTTGAGTTTTGAAGTTTCAATAGCAGTGGTGTATTTACAGAGTGGAGAAGCTAGTCTCACTCAAAACCTTCACTCTCTGCCAGGTTGCACGAGGTAAAAGAGTGCGTCGGATGGGAATCGAACCCAAACCGAGTGCGTGGTTAGAGATTACTCTGCCACTGAACCATCGACTCACATTTGCTAGGATGAATAGGTCGATTTCAATTTGTATACGTACCATTCGTAATGACACCGAGATATTGCCTTTAGTGAATACCTTATTATGATAAACAATCAATGACAATCCTATGAACTTATTGACGAAGAAAGTAACCACTGATGTTTGTCGGTTTTAAATACAAGGCAACACAAATCCTGAATTCCGCTGCTAACCATTACCACTTGTATAACTTAATTCTTTTCAGATGGCACTAAATATAAAGTAATCTAATTGCTAGTCACAAAAAACTATAAGGGGAATAACTTATAAGCGGAGTATGCTTATTTATGTCAGGGGTTTCGACTGATTAATTACATTGAAGTTGGCTTTTATCACTACAATTTACACAGCATTCTTTAGGTTTCATGCTCATCTTGCCAGAACTCAACTACTCAGGACAGATCTCTCATGTACCGGAATAAGAATCACACTTATTGTGTGAAGACTGATGATATTGCCAGGTTGCCCAGGCTGAATTAGGTGGAACGGGACTCGAACCCGGGACACGCTGTCTGCAGACAGAGCTCTTTAGCCAATGAATCACATATTTACTCATTCTCATCAATTGTACGAATTCTAAAAACCCGGCACAAGTTAGTTATACACATCTCACGGATCACAATCAACTTGTGCTTAACTCAGTGACACAGGTGTGATAAAACGAAAATCGAACAGTAGCATTAGAAAAAAAGCCGGTGTATCATAAGCCGATGAACAAAATAAACATTAAACGTGAATTTCATTCCATTAACAATATCATGGTATCTATTATAATAAAGTCATTAAGAAAACAGTGAACACCTACTGCTAAGGTAAACACTCTACTACTGATATTATTTCAATGAGTAGTTTAGGAGAACGTCAAGCAAGAACTAGAGTTTTTATTCCGTATAAGACATTATGATTGGATTCGAAATTCCTCTGGTTTTCAATATCACTACTCACTGTCAACCCTCTGCCCCCCTTTCCCCCCCCCACATGCAGCCACCTACGAACCCAACAATGAACAACAGGAAAAAAAATCTCCGCCAAAAACCAAACAAAGAGAAGAATACATTGATGAAAGTACATGTGAGAACTATTATTGTAAACTCTTGTCCAGAAAAGACCAAGCAGAAGATAAATTCTGATAATAACCACAACACAAAGGCTAAAATCGTAATACTAATGAATGATACAGAGATATAACTGATTTTAGGTGATTAAAAATACAATCAGAATATGAATAGGATGATTTAAAGAGATTGTTAAACAGTTTTTTTCCCTCCATTTTAAGGAGCACAGAAAGCAGTGGTTAACACAGAGAAGACAGAGACTAGTAGACAATTTATCGGCATCTCTCTGTCTGTCTGTCTTCTCTCGCACACTCTTTCATGCCCTATTCACCCCTTTTTTTATACTATACATAGTAGATGGACTAATGATGGTTAAACGGAATATTAAAAGTTATGCATGTGTACATGCGTAAAAATTTAAATTGAGAGATGAGCTAAAACGACTGGAAGAGATCACAAATAAAAAGACACATTCATTTTTCTACTGAGCAAAACAAAAAAGAAAACAAAGTGTAAAAACACCAAGAGATCACATAATGAGCACACAAAAAACACATTAAACATGTTATTTTAGTAGATATCATATAGTGATATGGAGCAGGAGACTCAAAAAGAACACATAATGACAACTGAGAGAAAGAGAGAGATATTAAGCAAAGAACTAAACGAGTATACAAGTAAGTATAAACAATGTACAAATGTAGCTCACCTATAATAACAATAATAATATTTAGAGGAATAAAAGGCTTAAAAATCATGGAAACATGAAGAAGATATGCACAAGTGTGCAGTGGAAACACACACACAACACAAATTATATTCAGAAATGCAAAAACTGATTCACCCAGTCTCTCCTCATATGATGAAAAGACTTGTGTATTTCATAAAAATTTATATAGTATGGTGTTGATATTTTTTAGCGGATTGTTATTGATCACCAGATGTCTTTGCACATGTATAAAGGCGGCGGTATGAGGATCATTAAAACACATAGTGTGGAAAGCTTAACCATCTGATTTCGGTGGAGTATACCAACCACTTTCTTCGTGAATTTGAACTAGACCCCGGTAAGATAGTTGAGCTCGACGAAGGGAATACTGATCCTAACATATTATAAACACAAAACATTCCATTAAAATGAGAAGAGAAGATAATTAAATGACAAATAGAAGGGTATAGGCTGAAACAGATATTTATCGCAGATTATCTAACTAGCTCCGACTTGAAAACTCTATAAAGTACTAATATAGGAGACTGAAAAGAGGTTGCATCAATCCATACGGGTGTTGTCATTGAATAGCATTTTGAAAGATCAGCTGCTCAGATGGTAAAAGATGAGCAGTGAACATTTAGTAACTTTAGGTGGGATAATCCGAAACAGTCGCCAGAGCTGAAAATGTAACCCATTTCGTCATATACCCCGATTTTGTCCCATTTTTAAACCAGCTAAAACAGGCTTCGACCAGTCAAAACCTATCTAAACAATTCTACACCATTGGGCTAAGGCAGAATGTCATCATAATGCGAGTGGACAACCTTGAAGCCAGAACTTATGCAACCAATTAAATCAGTTCTTTATGGGCTTAAAATTTGTAGTGTTTGTACATAATGCTTTTTCGTATAATAAAATAGATTGTTCTCACTGGCCTGAACCAATCTGTCTTCCATCTTTATTTGTGTGGGCTCTGGGAGTCAAGAGTGATTAGAAATGGGTACTGGTATTCGGTCTTCAGACGAGCTACTTATTGCCCTCCCTATCGAATCCTAGTCGCAGCACTATTGTTATTGTCAATTGCATCACTTCATATCCGATTTTGGCGACATTATGGAACCCGAACAGCGGTATTCTTCTCGTACACAACAACCTTAAATATACAACAGTTTTCATATCCATCAACCTACCCACCTATGTAGATTAGTTTTTGAAGTATACCAAGTGAAAACAGACACTATTCTAGCTATTCATTAATTATAAGCAGCACTTACCAAAAGATTTATCATGCAGAAAGAGTCGATAGTTAAAAAAAATGTGTTCAGATTATTGTATACCCTACCATCAGAAAGTTGCAGACAGACAAATGTACGTTTGCATTTATATGTTTGCTAATTCAATTAAAACCATCGAAAACAAGGAAAGTTCAACCCTATGTGTCTATTTAATGAAAACGCTTTTTTACTAAGAATTCATTCTATGAAAAGTCATATTGTTTGTGATTGGATTAGTGGTCTGCAGATAGATGTCTTGCTGTTCTGGTTTCTTTTTTTGTAACTAATTCTAATCTCTTTTAATGATAATAGTTTCTTCAGTGCCTTCTGTAACGGTGTAACTTGGTTTGTATACATGTGTGCACTACTAGTCACGGAATCATAATATCTATTCTACTGACACCCAAAAATCTGTGACTTTATAATTGATTGGCAAGAGAGTTTGATTTGAATAATACAGAGGAAAACGTTAAATTGTCACCACTAATTGCAGTTGTAGTGTATACAAGTATAGTGTTTCTCAGTGTATAAAGCTTTCCCGATTTCCAGTGAAAATATAGAATGAAGAACATTAGGGATATTGCAAGCTAGTCATCAATAAGAACAAATATATGCTTAAGAAGACTATCAGTGGTGACTTCGATAAACGATGAAACCTTCGCAATTGAACTATCCAACTCAGAGAACACAACAATGTTAAAAAAATCCATCTGAGCTGTGAATCTTCTCCACTGAGACTATATATTCTAGGCATTACTAATCACAATTTTATAAGTGACTATGGGTCAATATATTTCTATGGTGTATGATTAGTGCTCAAAAAGTTTCCATTGGGTAAATAGTAACTATTCTATATTTAATCATGTATATGATTGAGCGTGTTGACCACTTCACTTATTTGGGAAGTCGCATCAGCCAGTGCCAACGGGTTGATCGCTGAGGAAATCTCAGCACGGGTACAGAAGGCTCGTTTCGCATATGCCAGCTTACGCCTATCATTACAAATTAAATCATATTCCATACATGGTTATTGAATAATCCAAATAAGCTTGACTAATTACTTAACTTTAGTCTACAAAGATTGTGAAATTTTTGACATATTTTTTCAAAATAAGACTAATTAGGTTAATAAGGTCCATTCAAACGGGAAAATCTGTTGTTGACTGAGTTTCTAAATTAAAATACTACAAACGAACCCCCAGGGATCAGAAATATCTATGCTATCACCTCTACATGTGGTGATATCATTTTTTTCTCATTCTTTTGCATTCCCAGTGGAACACATAGGGCTTCAAGCTCCGAAGTTTTAGTAGAGTTTGCGTTGTGTTTTTTTACGGGATGGATTTGCTAGTTTCACGCCCAACTTCCCCTTCTTTTCCAAGCTTACTATCTACCGGCTAGTAAACCAGGCAAAGTTTAAGAGTGCGTCGACCGGGAATCGAACCCGGGACCAAGTGAGTGGTTGATGAGCATTCTGCTACTGAACCATCAATGGTACCACAGTGATATCACAGAAGTCACGAATTTTCAGTTAAATTTATTATTCTACTTCTCCTTTTACCTTGATACAGTCCAAATAAATTCAAAATAATTGTTGTTTCGGTAGGATTATTTGTTTGATATATTTACTTAGTTCTAATCAGGCTTTATGGAATACCAGTTTTACCCCTAGAACAATCACTATTTTATCAGCATTTCATAGCTAATACAGGATGAAATAATCTGAAGTACAAATATTTATCAGTGTGTAGTAGTAACTTTGCATGCAATAAGTTGACCCTCTCACTCATATACAATAATTAAGCTAATAACAATTGGTGTTATTGTGTTACGGCAAAAGTTGCACATCCCTATATAAATTTGGAGATTACGACATTGGCATTTATCTTACTTATTTCTACTCAACTTTAATATAGGTCTCTATTTCCACATTTAACTTCATACGACTTCACTACCTCATGGAGTGATCTTTAATTGGCCTTTAGTTTACGAAAGAAATAGACTTATTGAAAGGCAATACGGAACACGTCAAGTGAATATTTCTTCATCAACACTAACCTAGTAAGAGGAAATGAAGTAAAAGAGTATACCAGCCATTACACTTCACTGGCAGTTCACACTAGTTCTGGTGGCTCAGTAAATGATGAGATCTTAGCACAAGTACAAAAGGTTCATTTAACACACGGAAATCTGACTGCTGATTGAGCCTCTCAGTTCACTATATTCTACTACATATGATCATTAAAGATGGAGGGTCTGTAAAAAAAGACTGCAATTACCTGGACCACTATTGTCTTTGCAGTGTTTGGTAAGACAATAATATCAGCTTTTTCGTAGTTAGGCATACAGTACCACATAAGACAGGAGGTTAGTCAATCGTGGAAGTTTTAAGCGGAGACAAGTGCCACCCACGTCTATTCTCTGTCTAATATTATATTATTGTTCCCTTGGGTTCCTAGTGGAACATAGGGCTTCAACTGCACGTCTCCACTTGCTTCTGTCTTCTGCTGTACTTTTCACTTGCATCAATGTTAGTCCATACTGTTTCAACTCTTCTTCACACGATCTCCTCCTGCACCCTTGGACGTCCCACTCGCCGCTTCCCTTTCGGGTTCCACTCGAGCACTGGCCTGACGCGCGATGTCACCCAGTGGCCTCCTCAGCGAGTGTCCAATCCATCTCCACTTTCTCCTGCATATTTGTTGGGCGATTGGTTCTTGTTTTGTTTGTTCCCATAGTTTCTTGTTGGTGATTCTTTTCGGCCATCTGATCTTGAGTATAGAACGAAGACAGCTGATGATAAAAGTCTGCAACCTGTCTACCTTCAATGTAATTATATATTGATGGAAGTTCAAAAAAGAGTGAACAAACAGTGGCATCACATCCTTCTATAAGGTCACTAACAGTTTTGTACAGCCATGTAGGCAAGTGAAAGTTACCCATATAGGTTGGATACAACTAAAGGGACCTAATGACTAGAGAATATATATCATATAACTTTAATATATTTCTGTAGTGCAGATATATTCATACTTTGAATTAATCTAAATGATAACATCACACATTATTTTCTTCGTCTATCTTATAGAACTTTACAGCCTTCAATTGATTATGTAATTCTTTTTTATGACCTTCGACTCGATGTGTAAATGTGACCACTGCAGGAAATTGGACCACCGTTTAATAATGCTAGGTTTAAAACTGATAATGTACATGTTTTTCAGAAGTCGAAAAACAAAAAAACAAATGACAGATGAATGAAAACAACGGAACCATCACTCATAAAAACTTATACCCTCGAAAAATAAATAAATAAATAATATGGCTATAGTATTGATTTATATGAAGAAATGGTGACATGAGAGTTTATATCCTATAAATAAATCATTCAAAATTATATCACCTAAACACTATGGCTTTATGTATGCAAGCAACACAATGTAACAAATGAAGCTCAACACTATAGAGAATATTTGTAGCTCAGGTGGATGATTTGCAATTAGTTGTGTTCTCTGAGCTGGTTGGCTTAATTGTGGAGCTCAATTATAATGAAGTGGAAATATAAACAATAACTAATGACTACTAATCGACTATTTAATGTCATTCAAGCAATATCATTTGGTGATTATCAATTTAAACACAAAAGATAAAAAACAATTCTATAGAGAAAGACTGAATACCATAATGACATTATCTTTAGGAAGCACAAATAACTTACATCTGTTGCACTGAAATTTATGCGTGCTCGACCTTTCACCAAGGTGGCAGCTATCTGCATAATAGCTGATTCAATATCATAAGCACTAGACCAACCTTGTTTAGTAAACAATTCCATGCATATTGCTCCACCAGCTAAAACATAACCATTTTCAATGACTGGATAGAGAATACGCACAAAAGGTGGTTCAAAAGGGTAAGTTTCCTGCAAGAGTAACAAAAATACGAAAGAGAAGCCATGTAAAAACTGCAAATCACAAACTATGACTATGTAAAGTTCATATAGATATGACATCCATGCCAGCTTTACAGCATAACACGTGAAGATGAACTGTCGACATATGTAGGTGAAAAATCATAAGCGGATGAATACCAGACACACAAAAACAAGTCAGCTATATTACTATTATTCCCTTGGGTTCCAAGTGGAACAAAGAGCGTCAACAACACATCTCCACTTTGTTCTATTCTCTGTTGTCCTCTTCATCTGGCTAGCCACCGATGCCATAACCTCTCATCTCCTCCTCGCACGAACTCTCCCATGTCACCCTCACACCGATGACCTACTCGTCGCTTTCCATTAGGATTCCACTAGAGTAATGGCCTGCAATGAGCGCGATGTCATTTGACAGTCTCCTCAACGTATGCTCGATCCATCTCCACTTTCGCCTACATATTTGTTGAGCGATCGGCTCTCGACTGTTGGTTTGTTGTGAGAGTTTCTTGTTGTTAATTCTTTCTGGCCATTTGATCCTCAGTATGGAGCCAGCGAAGACAGCTGTTGATAAAAGTCTGTAGCAGCCTGTTAGAAATCCTTTTCGTGACCCGCATAGAAGGACCGACTTCACATTTGTGTTGAAAATCCAAATCTTGTTCTTTGTGCTGAGTTGATTAAGTTGACCAAAGCAGGGATGCAGATACATGCAGTTGACGAGCCTCTAATGAAAAGAGACTAGGATTCCGGATTTCAGTACTAGTCACAACAAAATATGATTGAAAGTAGAAAGATAAACGCAATTAACGTAAAATCCCAGTCATAATCAGTTGTTACATTTGTGTCAATTTGACTTAGAGAGAGAGAATTTTAGGAGCACTGGACAGTTGCTTCGTCTGTATTTGGTAATAGTGAGTACCCGAGACTGCAAGAAAACTAGCCTAAGATCATTATGTCGCAAGGCAATCGCATCATCGTTTAGTTGCTGGGATGGAATTCACTAGCTCACGATTTTCAGCTTCCACTGATGGTGCAACCGCTATTTCATCCATTGGCGAAGTACCCTGTACCAGTTTCATTTAATTAATTTAATTAATTAATTAAATGAAGCAACAAACTATCAGTGAAACTCATCGCGCGCTCTTAACAATGCTCTCAAGCAATAATGATGTCTCAGTTGATATATCTCTTTCCAACCTTACTTTTATTTTTATACTTAGTTTCCTGTATTTTACCTTTGCTCACCTTGACTTCTTAACCTTCGACAGCCCTTCGCCTTTGTTTGGATTCCTAGCCTATCTGTGTCGTTTCGAGATGTTAGTGAGTAACCCTCAAAATGGCTGTCCCCAATGTGACATCTAACACAGATATCATGAAACCGCGTGCCGCGTTCAAGCTGGCCACCTACAATGTTCGGACGCTGATGCAAATCGGACAACAGGCAGGGTTGGTAAGAACGTTGGAAAGCCTCGCTATCGATGTCTGCTGCATTTCGGAGACTCGCATTCAAGATCCCAGTGAAGTGCTTCGATTATCCTCTCCATCTGGAAGTTCTAGTAGTATGTACCACCTGCGCTTATCCGGGGACCCTGTGGCGTCGGCATCCGGCGTAGCTGGTGTCGGCGTCGCGCTGAGCGCTAGAGCCGAAGTTGCACTGCTCGACTGGATTCCCATTAACAGTCGTTTATGTGCTGTGAGGCTGGAAGGTTATACGAAAGTAAGGAGTAGTAGGCCAGACAGATGGTGTCTATTTGTTGTCTCTGCCTATGCACCAACAGATTGCAGCCCGGATGCAATGAAGGACGAGTTCTACCACCAACTTAACGATCTCTTGAGACAGGCAGGTCGGGCGTCTGAGCTCAGAGGAGAATCGTCTAGGTGGTCAATGAGGACTACATGGTCGCAGGTCAGATAATGGGGACCGTCTTCTGCAGCTTTGCGCGGATCACAACCTATTTCTGGCCAGCACCAACTTCCGGCACAACCATCGCCGTAGCGCTACCTGGCGTCCTCCCTCTGCGAAGCAAGCTTGGACTCAGATTGATCATATTGCGGTCAGTTTCCGGTGGCGAGGATGCATACAAGACTGTCGCTCCTCCTGGAGCACATGCCTGGACTCCGATCATGCGTTAGTGTGTGCCAAGTTCGTCTTGCAATTTGGTGGGGTTCATAAAAGGCGTCGTCTAAGCGTTGATGTGAGCAAACTAGTAGCACCTGCTACTTCTTTGAAATATCAGAACGAGTTGAAAACAATGCTTGCCAGCAACCCCCCAAGTAGTATAGATGAACGCTGGCTTCATGTCCAAGGTGCCATGCAAAGAGCTAGTGTAGCCGCTTGCGGCTTGAAAGAATGCTCCGCTAACAACCACTGGGTTTCTGCGAGTTCCTTGCAACTCATGGATGAACGCCGGTCCATTCCGGCTGGCAGTGAATACAACAATCAGCGAAAGGCGCTCACGCGCAAGATTAGACAGTGTTTACGTAAGGACCGCGAAGCCTGGTGGTCAGAACGTGCGTATGAGATGGAGTCAGCTGCTGCATCTGGCAACAGTCGGAAGCTGTTCCAACTCATACGAGCCACCGGCAGCAAGAAACAAGGTGTCAGCGAGATGGTCTGTGAGACAGATGGCACGCCAATTACCAGTTTGAAAAGACGCCTGGAACGCTGGGCAGAGCACTTCGGGAAACAGTTCAGCTGGCCACCAGCTTCAATGTCTGCTGTCATTAGCCCAAGTACCGACCCACCCACCGAAGCGGAGGTCCGTAAGGAACTCCAAGTGTTAAAACGCCATAAGGCGCCCGGCCCAGACAATTTACCCCCGGCTCTTTTTAAAGATGGTGGCGAGACTCTTACAATGGCTCTAACTGGGTTGTTCAGGAAGGTATTGGAAACTGAGAGTGTACCATCAATGTGGAACGAAGCCATCATCGTCCCTATCTTTAAAAAGGGTCGACGTAATTCGTGTGACAATCATAGGGGTATCAGTCTGCTACCAGTCGCGTCTAAATTATTGGCTTCTGTCTTGCTTCGCAGACTGTGCAAAATACGTGAAGGATTGATTCGCGAAGAGCAGGCTGGGTTTCGTTCAGGTCATGGATGCATTGATCATGTGTTCACCCTTCGTCAGTTGTTGGAACACCACAACACGTATTGCAGGCCAACAATCGTTGTGTTTCTTGATATTAGGGCTGCATTCGATTCGTTGGACAGAACTGTGCTCTAGAACTGTCTGTTAGAGAGAGGTGTACCTGAGAAATTTGTTAACATCTTGAAAGCCCTATACAGAAACACCTCAGGTAGAGTGAGGGCATAAAACCAACTATCATCACTGTTCCCAACCAACAGTGGGGTTAGACAGGGTTGCCCAATCTCTCCATTTCTCTTTAACTTTGCCATCGATGACATTCTGGAGTCAGCTCTGAAGGATGTGCGTGAAGGTGGTGTAGATCTGCTACCTGGAGATAGACTTTTCGACCTCGAGTATGCAGACGATATCGTCTTACTGTGCGATAGCATGCAGGCTGCCCAAATCGCACTTAATCAGTTGGCGATCAGTGTCTGTAAGTATGGTATGTGCTTTGCACCGTCTAAGTGCAAAGTACTGTTACAAGATTGGCAGGAGCCTGTACCTGCACTCACTCTTGCGGGTGAACCGCTTGAAGTTGTTGATAAGTTTGTGTATCTGGGTAGTTGTGTGAGTGCTGGCGGAGGGGTGACGGATGAGATTTCCAACCGTATAATGAAGGCTAGGGTGGCATACATCAACTTGTGCCACCTCTGGCGCCGTCGCGACGTTAGCCTGGCTGTCAAAGGTCGGGTATACAATGCTTCGGTGCGGGCTGTCTTGCTCTACGCCTGTGAAACCTGGCCTCTCCGAGCTGAGGATGTGCGGCGACTCTGCGTGTTCGATCATCGCTGTCTCCGCAGGATTGCTTGCGTTCGATGGCATCATCGCGTGAGTAATTCTGAGGTTCGGCGGCGTGTGTTTGAACACAGTGGAGATCACCATTCATTGAGTGTCGTCATCTGGAAACACCAGCTCCGGTGGCTTGGACATGTGCTGCGAATGTCATCCCAGAGGCTTCCGTACAGGTCTCTGTTCGCTAGCCCTGGGACGGGATGGAAAAGGCGGAGGGGTGGTCAGTCCATGACGTGGCGTCGTGGGATGAAGGATATTTGTGCTAGATTAGCATCGGTTGGTGTGTCACGACTCCCTGGTTGGGGTCCGCGAGATAGCTCGAATCGATGGCTCGAAACGTTATCGGATATGGCCAAGAATCGTAATCAATGGCGAACGTGTTGCAATTTCCTTCTTTCTTCCCTTCCTGATGATAGTTAACGAATACTGTTTGAACTTGTTAAACATGACTGTTTTCCTTCCTGATGAAGTTCTTTATCCGTTTTCTACTTATATTTTTACTTTTAATCTATGTTGTTTTATTATTATTGTGTGGCGCATCTTTCTTGGTGCCATATTGTACCAAGTTTTTCTGCGTTTAAATAAATAAATAAATAAAAATAAATACCCTGTACCAGAACGATACATCTAATGAGTGATCCTTGGTATCTAACAATCACTTAGTCGGCAACATCTACTTGCTAACAGAATCCATCATGAAACAACGTTAGCAGCTTTAAAATAGCGCGAAAAATTTCTCTGTGACACCTAAAAATATGTACCACGTTGACTTTCTGTAAAAACTAGGAAAATGTAACTGCTCCTCAGAATTTCTAGTTAAACAACTACGTCTACTATTAGCATGAATTATGAATTTTACCTCAATTACATTATCTGATATTTCAACAACAGCGATTTTAGTAACACCACAAAATAATATCATAAATACTAATTCAGTTATTTTTATTATTATTATTATTCTTGAATCGTCTCATGGTTGAGTTACATTGTTATTTACCGCCATCGCTGAAAACCGGTCATTGTATCTCACTGTAACATAATTATATCGATAACCAATGCAGTAATATCCAAATGAAAGCAATGGAGAGACAACTGTTTACTGTCACTTAGTTTATCCGAAAGTTCTATCCAAAGATCTACTCAACTATGATACGCTACCTTACAATAACAAATCAGGATGAATCTCGTCTCTCATTCTTTTTAAACGATAATTTTATGAGATAATAATGATACTGACGAAAACATTGAAACTACTTTTTAAAAAATACGAAATTATTATCCACTAGACCGCATAATCAAATTTCTCGCATAATTAAATCAGAACTACTATACAAATTAGTCGCAAAAGAGACTGGAGATGTAGATATAGTGGAGAAGATTTGTAGTTCAGGTGGATGATTTATTTGCGAAGTTTTTATTGCCTCGCTGGTCAACATCTTCAGTGCAAACTTCAATTTGGAGTGAGCTTTTAAATTTTCCTACGAGTTTATTATCTCTCCCAGTGACCTTGAACGTGATTGGTTGCTTTTGTCTGTTTTCACACACTCTAGTCTACTTGAATCGGTATTGATTGTTTCCTTGACCTGAAGTCTGACTTTTTGTGCGTGAGATTTTCCTCTTATGGATTGGTAAATTTTATCTATGTCAATGTGTTTGTTAATTGCCGATTCACTGGAATACCAGGTTTCCGAAAATTCTCTGGCGTTTTTAGTGTTTCCTCTGCTTAATGCTTGAACTTTGTCCCAGTCGAATTGTTGTCCGTGGTTGTCTGTATGCAGCAGTTCGTTTGAATTTTTCTCTTTCCTCTATCTTTGTGTGCTACATGGTGTGGCAACTTGAACTGCTGCAGTTATGTGCAGAGTCCTATGTTGAAACTCAGTCAGTCAGACGTTTGGCAATGAACTATATCTGTGAGAGTAAAGTAAAACATACTATATCCACATCTAGCTAGAGAGAGGCAGCTCAATCCCGTGAGTCATTGGTAGAAACTGAATGACCAGATGAATAAGCGATGTCTAAGCAGATAACTTCATCAAACAGTGAATAAACGGGTTTTAACGCAAAACATGACTAGTTATATTGGAGATATTTTCTTGAATTTGAGAATTGCTTCTCAGTCGTGATACATATCCAGAGCATAATCGAATCAAACGAAAACATGACCCTCTAAAAACGAATTTTTTATGAAATGCAACGAGGTTTTCACACATGCCTACAGTATACTTTTAGTTTTTTTTACTGATGAAATAGGGGAACCCACTTTAGACAACCTCTTTACTTAGGTAATTAGTGATAGAAATGTTATTTAGAAACCTTGCCTTATACCCTGTGTGAGATCTACACTTATAATGCATCAAACCCAAGTGAAACGAAAGTTTAGCTAGATAAAAATAAATGATCACATTAGGAAAAAAACAATTCGAACCGTGAAAACTATACAGTTTAAATAACCAACCTTGAACAGGAACTGCAAACCCAGGTGATTCTCTAACTTTGGATGATTACTAAGTTCCTGAATATCTTTATGCAGCCCACTGTCTTCATCGACTCTACAAAATGAAAAACAAAGGTTTGTAAAATGATGAGGAAGATCCGTAGCTCCTGTGGATGGTTCGTACATTCAGTATACGACATCTGTGAATTCTTCGATAAATTTCAACAAACTGAGGGACTGAATTTACGGCACAATATGATACTAATAAAAAGTGAAGTGACAGTTCGCCGATCTTTGGGTTCTATTAAAAATAAACCTGAGGTTCGGAGTATGAAAATGTTTTTCACTCTCCTCAAGTAATAAACAACTTCGACCTATGAGACACATATGCTATCATATGATGAGACCAATTTGTTTGTGAGCATAGTAGTAACAGAAACGATAGACAATTTGACTGTATATAAATTCGTTACCACTGTCCGAAATATAAACCAGGTAGCTGATTTATCTCTGCACAAAAGATATCCTGTTTTCATTTAATAACCGAATTCATCGACAAACAGATGAGAAATGTCATGACTTCGTCTGTAGGATCTGAACTTACGAATATCATTATGGTTTATTATTATTTTTTATTTTTGATTGCAGCTTGATTCCACACCGTATTTTTTGGTACATGTACGGAATTTTCAGCATATGATATCGGTAGCCCAAATTTTGTAGGCTGACCATAGATATCAGGTGTGGAGAGATACACTTGAGTTCAATAATCAGACTAACAACGTATTGTTACAGATGCGTTGATGACACTTAGCTTATTAGCTTTACAGTATACAATACCACATAATAATTAAACCAATTCAAGTTCGATAAGTGACATGCTAATGTTATCTCGGATCCGTTCACAAATCCACATGTACTTTCAGTAACAAGTACACTAAAAGGATTGAATTCGGTGTTTTGGACAACTCTTGACGGATGTGGGCTTAAAAAGAAGTGAATATTCCTTTAGTACAAACACTAGTCAACATCATAGGGAGAGAAGATATATTTGAGGTGTCTTAAGTCTTTCAAAATATTAACTGAGCAGAAAATGGCTTGACCAATAGGTTTCGCGGGAAATTTTGTTATAAAAGGTGTTAAATGTTATATATATATATATGCCCAGCCACCAAACGTTGCTACCATTTATAAGCAAAGAATAAGGTGCAACAAAATGGATAATAACTGTGAGTATTTCTGTTTCGCTGCTATCAGTTGGTGAATATCATTTGAGCTTTAGTGTCCTACTGAGATAAAATATTCACTTGCGGACTAGCGTAGTCTATATAGTTGCAAGCTGAAATTTCACCAGAAATCTGAGTAAAAGAATTAGTGATTTGACAGAAAAGCTATGAAATTCATAAGCTGATAAAAGATAAAAAGCAACCCGGAAAATTGAAGTCTTTTGAGGTTATACAATTATACGGAGATATTCAGCCAATTATAATTGAGGTTATTTATAAGATATCAATGCAACAGTAAAGAAAGTCTGTACTTCAAGATGAGAATGAAATCATTTGTCCTTCAAGCTTTGATATATAATTATGAAAATAAAGATAGCATGACAAACAACTTGTCCGTTTTAGGCAATGGATCCTTTGATTTTCAATGACTTGGTGCCGTTTGTGTCTTACAGAGATGTTAAGTTACCTATTAAGAGTTTTTGAAACAAATTTTATGTATGGTGACTTAATTCGTCTCGAATTGCAGGGATTTGATTGGTTACAGGATTTCATCATGAGCTGACACTGGTTAAAGAATAATGATTGGAAAACTTGAGAGTACTGGATAGATGATTCGTTACCCTGGTTTGGGACTCCTCAGCAGTACGCACCCACCGGGGTTAGAACCCAAGACCTTCCGGTTACAAGGGGAGCGCGTAGAACATTAAGCCAATGGGACCTGATCCAATGGCCCAAGCATTCCAACTTCTAGTGAGAAGTCGTGACCAGTGGGGTACAGCAGGTCGGGTGTGAGGACAAATACTCGTCGATGACATTGGCTAGTGGTTGCGCTATATCGTTAATTCGTTTTGTTCTCTGAATAGTACATATATATATTAAATGTAGACATCAATTCTTTCTTGAATAAATAATAATCTATTGGCTTTAAAAATTACCCCGAATATACCTCAAGATGAACGTATAAAAAACAGCCCTGTTTCAAACAGTCCTCATTTTACGGGGGAAAAATCCAAGTAACTCCATATTAGTTTGTTTATTAGATGTATCACACAGTGAAACAGTATTATTATACTGGATGACGTTTCGAACAAAATTTATTGATCATAATCATATTAATTATAATCACACGACTTTGAAACTTGAGTTTTATAGTTTCCTTTGTCCTCTCCTATCTGTCGTAAGGGTAGTAGAATTTTCCAGATATCTGGGAAACTCAAGTTTCAAAGTCATATGATTATAATTGATATGATTATGATCAATAAATTTTCTTCGAAACATCATCCAGTAAATAATACTGTTTCACTGTGTGATATATCTAATAAACAAACTAATATGGAATTACTTACTACCACAGTGCCCAAGTTTTATACATATATTAAAACCAAGCAACGACTATACAATATAGCAAAAAGCAAGTTTTATTAAACTAACTTTTGTCTTTTATTTCTACACAGTTTCGGTGGCTTATTTTGAGTTACGTATCATATCATTTTTACCTAAACTCTGTTACGCTTAATTAAGCTTGAGAGATGTTAAAACTAGGCACACAAATAAGCGGACAAATAGGAAAAGTCTAATCCCCATTATCGATGAAATAATACAATGTGGCTATTGAACTAAACTACACTGCATATCAGCGAACTCCATGAAAGCCTTAAGATAAATTACTTCTTTTAAGATGTACATACAGGAGTGTCTAGTATATGAACTGATTGTATTATGTAGCATTAAGGGAATGGTAAAGTACCTATAAAAACAACACTGAACCTAAATGATATACATTTTAGAACAAGTTGATAAGATGTGTTTGTAACCGTTGGAAAGCCAGTACCTTCTGTAGAAGAATTAAACCATTAATGAATAATAAAGTACTACTTTATATAAAGAGTAATCGAAATAGGAATACAAAAAAATGTGTTAAAACAAAACATGCACATCGAATTCTTACTTGTACAACTTCACTTTCCAGTTATACAGACTGTCATTTTGTAATTCAACAGTGAAAATACCTATAAACAAGAAAATAATGTAAGCTATGTGTTATACTTCTTAAGAGCTCATTCAAAGTGAACACCAAAAATAAGTATTAAAACGGGTCAATAAGTACTGAGATAAAAGCAGAAGGAACCACACACACACAACATCAACGACAACCCACCTCGTTTATAACTGTCTGATCGATAGATTTCCCTCAGCTCTTTCATTAGACGATCAGATGATTGGAGTGAACCTTTGGTAACGCCCTAAAATAGTAAGTAATATTAAACAAATTGATAAAGACGACAGAATCCTATAAGAAAATTTATGTTAAACAGACAAATAAGAACAGAGAGAAGAAAGGACATAAATCGGAAAATAATACTTAGTTGCGCTAGCCATTTTTATATTTTCGACAAAGACGCGGCTGGGTAGGTGGGAAGGTAGATACGACTAGACAGAATAAAAAATAGCGGTGAAAGTAAGGTTTTTTAATCAGTTATAAGAATAGTCGAAGATAACTCTCAGCATATACATATTGATTTCTAACAAAAACAAAGGAACATGAAGAGCTTTTTGAGCTTCTAAATTACATTGACAGTGGACACGGCAGAGGAGACATAGAAATGTGTGCAATAATCATAAGAATTTTCGCCTTTTTCTTGATCTTCTGAGTTCTACTCACTGTATTACATCATCAACTTCTCATCTGACCTCATGTGCACCGAAATTTTAAAATTTTGATCTTCTCTTATCTAATTACGTAACTACGAGTAGCTGTCTTTTGTTACCACCCCAACAACACAACTGTTAATTTTTTTCAAGAAACAAGATATATATATATGTCGTAACACTTTAGACACCCTGTAAATCGCAACGCCTTATTTTACTGTGACGCTCTTATAATATGCTTGCTAATGGACAAAAGTTTGTTAAAATTGTGCACTTTTTATTTTATTAAAGAATTCAGGTTGTACGCAGTTGATGAGAACCAACGAAATAAAATGGATCCAGATTATTCTGCGCCAATGTTTCTTCTTTCTTTGTTCAGAAGTATGAAAGTCAGAAATTCTGAATGCTCAAAAAAGAGGCAGGCATGACAGAGAAATCTCCGAAGTCTTATCAGTTGATCAAGATTGAACTAATGTTTTAAACAAAATATAATTCACAAATCTAGTGGCGATAAGTTAACTGGCTACAATATCTTAACAGACGTTAATTAAAGAAGAAAATGAAAGCAATATATTTAGAGAATACATTTGATCACAAGTTGACATCAGTTGGAGAACCATTTGAAAACCTGGAATTACTGGACAGCTGTTTCATCCAAGTTTACGGCACTTCATAAATACGCACCACATAGGTTCGAACCCAGGGCATCCCGGTTAGAATGCAAGCTTGTAAACCATTCAGCCACTGGGACCCCATTCACCGGCCTATGAATTCCAACTTCTGCCATTTCGCGATATAAGTTAGAGAATAGCAGTAATTTTACAGCTAAGTCGTGTAAGCTAGAATAGATTGTTACATAGTGCATACTCTGTGTGATAGTAGAAAATGAAAACTTAGTGATCTCACCAAGTACTCAGTGTTTGGAAAGAATAAAGGTGAAGAAACAGAGTTAACAAGATATCCAAGCTAATTTGAATATGGGGAAGGGGAAACATTTGTCGCTTTACAGTTAGAAAAAAAAAGTCAAACCAGTGTACGATAAAGATTTAAAAAATAGGCAAAACGAATTTTCGCTGAAAATACAGATTCGGATTATTCAGATGAATCTCGCTGACTTCTACTTTATGTAAAATTGAAATAGGAGTCAATATCTAACTGATTTTATCTTTTTAAAATAACATCCACTTTTTTACTATTATTATTAATATGTGAATAAAACTCTCCTACCATCTCGGTGTGTCACCAGTTAAGCAGCAGTGGGGAAAACCGTCTAATGGTTGTGTAACGTTGGTGGCAGACAGATGATACGCGTGATCACTGTCACCACATACATTTTTTACCAAGCGATAAAGGAATATATAAAAGGAGTTGATATTTCGTTTAGAACTCATTGTGTGATGGCTGATGATACCATTCACTTGCCTAAGCACAAGTAGGTAGGGCAAGATTCGAACCCAAGACCCAATGACAGAAAGTCGAGCACTTAAGCCAATGAGCCACATGTTCACATATTAATAACAAACTTATAAAGAATATAGATAATAAAACAATTAAATCTAGGGCGTTCGTTAATGTCACTGCTGTACTTATATCAGCGAAGTACGCTGCAAATAGATTTACAAATTAAATATCCTTCCCCTGTCCAACCATACCATGGGGTCTTCAGAATTCTCACGATAACCATTCTTAATTGCATGATGAATATCACTAAATCCATTACGAGCAGTTAAAATGGATAATAAATATGAAGGTGGGGAAGCTAGGTAGTTTGATTTTATATGACGAAAATGCTATCGGTTAAGTTATGAATAGCCAGAATAAGTTAGTGGCGACGAACGATCTTTTTCGGGCATTTGTTTTGTGCAGTGTTACAGTTTTAGCACGAAACTGCAGTTTTAAGAAAAGCAACTTCGTAGACGTTTTGATGCTGAGATTTCTTTAGTTGGTGATTTGATATGTTATTCAAGGAACTTTTTAGTAACCATTTTGCTGCATAGTTCACAGACAGTCTTAAACTGCTTCTCAAAGTTGTTTGAACAGAAGGCGAGCTGAAGAACTGATGAATTAGAAGAGGACTTCTCACAGAAATTCAGCAGTTAACACTGCTATACTTTAGATAAGCACAAAGTCAGGTAACAAAAGCAAAATGATACTACGATAAAGACAGTGTTTCTACGGTATCTTTTTGAAAATAACAATTTCAAGATGGACTCTGACAAAAACTATTGATGGATATACGTGTTCGATGAAAAAACTAGGAATTACCCATATTTCGTATCACAACATTTAAAGAGAATGGGAAGGAACCAAGTCCATAAAAGCTGACTTTTAGAAGAAATGCTGGATACTATGCACATAGTTTAGTGCACATCTCAATTCAACCCAAAAAAATACTTGAGTCATAACATCTCACCATTCTTAAGCTATTTCCTGGTGATCTATTTGATTGTGGAAAACACCCATAAGGACATAGAAGAAGAGAACACGAAGTTCAGCAAAGATATCTTTTGAGCGATTTCATTTTCAAAAGCTGTACAATCGCATTTAAGTACATAATTTTACATGGATATAATTCTCATTTGATTCCATATAATTACGAAGGTGAATAAAAGGTGACAATTATTTTCAACTAGATATGGTTTACGAGAGGCTTAGAAACATATCTAGTTGAAAATAATTGTCACCTTTTATTTGCCTTCATAATTATGTGGAATCAAATAAGAATTGTATCCATGTAAAATTATGTATTTAAATGCGACTGTACAGCTTTTGAAAATGAAATCGCCGAAAAGATCTATTTGATTGACATTCAGTCATCGACTTCCTAAAATAGAACATCGCTGTACTTTGGTTTGAGAAATCAAGTAGGTTTAAAGGTTTAGTGTTCAAACCAGCACATTACCACTTTGTTTTGCATAATATTTAAGGCCGGTTTAACCTGGTACAAAAAGTAGCTATTAGTTAATGAGTTGCACGTAATTATTTTTCAAAGGTTCACAAATGATTAACGATGAAACGACAATAGCATTACCTGTATTTGCGTGGCCTTCAGTTTTTCTAGTTGTTCAGCATCCTGCGATGAAATACCATCATACTCAGGTCGATCGTCTCCTGTAATACTATAAAGATAAAGGAAAGAACGAATAAACGGAACAAAGAAGCAAATAAATATTCTCAACGGCAGTCGCTTTTATATGACCGTCAATATTTATCATTTCGAAAGTAAATGTCTCAGTATTTCTTAACATCATATTAGAAATTATATGAAGGACGTCAAGCTTCATATGAAGGTTATTCCTGTTGCTTAACAACACAAAATTTAGATTCACGAATAAAAATTGTTGTAAAACCGCGCATTGAAAGAAATTTCAGTGAGCATCATCCAAATATTTTAAAAAGTCCTCCTTCAAGAGTACTAACGTTTACCGGTACCAAAACTGTTTCATTACGAATCGACATTAGCTGGAAGCCTATTGCAAACTGAAGAGCACTCAGTAACTATCTTTTCACAGTTTGGAGCTCCATGAGAACAGACTCATCACCCACACGGAAACACTAAGTGAACGGCCCTCTTTTCTGCTGCTGTTATTTTTAATTAATTCAGTTTTTAATTCCTACTCATAGAGGACAATATTATCAATATGAATGCCCTGTTTTAATTACTACCCCTGTAATGAGAAAAATAGATGCAGTACTGTACTACATGCTGAAAATTCTATATTTGTGCCAAAAATGCTGTCTGGAATACAGTTATTATTATCATGGATTCAAGGTAGGTTTTGGTTTGACTACCCCGAAATCCTTCCCAACCTACTCCTATGTCAGCTAGGCATTACTCACAGAGGAAGGCGGTACTCAGTAATACCGATTCTTGTGTTATTTGTCTTCATTTGCTCTCTCATGATACCACATATTGACGAAAAGTTTTGAGAAATAAAACAGTAGTCTTTCAGTGGACGTGATACAAATAGCATGAATTCTTCTGTGAGAAAAAATGCAGTGATGTTCGTTAGTAAAAGACACGGAGAGCAATCAAAATCCCTGAAACTTACGAAACTTCGAATGGATCATTTAGTATTACATCTTCATCTTCGAAACCTGTATCTTCAGCATCGCTATTTCCTTCCGGACTGGCAGGAGGAGGTTCGGCAGTTGAAATGGAGTCAATACGTAGCTGGAATCAGATGCAATAGTAATTACAAATAAGGGATAAGTAAAATCTAAAAATGCTGTCTACAAAATAATTGGCAACCAAAAGTGTGGAGTTCAATGTTTATCTTTAAATGATATTTCCATAAAAACATGGGATAAAGTATCCAGCAAAACCTTTGGAATTATAACGCAACATTGAGTCTGGACATTTCCTCTGTTATTCTATTACTCACAACAAATTGAACGGATCAAGAGGCATCATATAAATGAGCTAAAATGCAATGGTATACAAATGAAGGGGAGTACCAAAAGATAGGGAAATCGTATAAAGATACACCCAACAAACATCTGCAGTTCATGTAATACAAGAAAGCACAATTACCACGAGTTTCTGTTTGAAGTACCTCAAAACACTTTAAATCACTAAACAATTCAGATAGAAGGATCTATTGTGGGGATTACTGTTTACACCGAACTTCCACGCATGGGAAGGATCTAAGTCTCCGACTCAGTACCTACAATAATAAGCTACAGTGCAACTGAACTGCACGTCAAAGCTTGTATGAATGGGTAACATGAAATAGACGCTAAAGAAAAACAACCATCCTAGACTCAACATCACTATAAATGCTAAGCAGATAACTGGGTGAGACATTATTAGTGATTTAGGATCGTCTATATATATATATATATATATATATATATATATATATAATTTTTTCCTTCACGTTCCCCAGTGGAAAATAGGGCTTCAAGCTAGTGGCTTGAAGTTTCTGTAGCAGTGTTTATTTTACAGGATGGGGTTGCTAGCCTCATGTCCAACCTTTCCTCTTCACCAGCATTATTTCTGGCTTAGCGAGGTAAAGGAGTGCGTCGGCCGGAGATCGAACCCCGGAACATATGCATGGTCGGTGAGCGTCCTAACCACTATGCCACCGACGCATATATATATATATACAGCCTCACAGGGTGACTATCTTATAACGATCTGTACTACATTTTAATGCCTCACATTTTCCTTAAATAACAATCAAATATAACATCAACTAATTGGTTAACCTATATAACCATGCATAGTGATAATCATTTTCTACTCGGTAAGAGATGAATTTAGGGAACAGTATGTTATTACATAACCTGAGTGATGACAGTTATGTGGGACTTAGACATAAAAAGTTTTCATATCAGACAAAAATCTAGCAAAGGTGATGACAGTTATAAGTCCTAAATAAAGCCGTAGTTTCCCCTATTTATCAGCCTCCAAGGAAAATTACTTTTGTAAATCTCAACCAGCTCGTATTTACTAATTCAAGACAAAATCACTTGACTTATAGTGAAACCTGTTCGTGAGGATGATGCTATACAGCATGACAATCAGACACATCAATTTTTTAGCTAGGAAAACGCTATACAAGATCATTCCTCAGAGCAACATATATTGCTCACTATCCTAATGATTCTTGAGTCTGTAGTGTACCTTCCAATGTTTTAACTCTTTTTCAACTTGTATAAATACATACTGGTCCCAAGGCTAGTTTGCTCTTTTCCGTTGTGCTGTCAACACGCACGTTCTTTGAGTTTGTAATAAAGCCATATTCTAAAACTCTTCCACTGAATAATCTTAACTATTTACTTTACTCAAATATACTGCTCACCATAGCACATTTAGAATAGACTGAGTCTCTTTAATTTGAGTTTTGTGTCGTCGCTACTTACAAGTTGAGTAGTGATTTACTGAGTAACTAGGCAGATTACGTTTTGGAGGGCTGATACAGTTTAACTAATCAACAGCATTACTAGTACCCTACAAGTCAATTCTACATTGACAGTTTGTTCTCTTTATGAATTCGTGTTTTCTTGCCATACTCAAACGTAAGAACTTATTATTAAACTAATAACAACTAACTAATTATTAGCTAATTTCATTCAGGAGTTAATGATTTATCAAGAAATCCTGATCCAACAGAGTTATCTTTTAACTCGCAGGTAGTATTAAAAGAGGTTAGAAAATTTATGCGATAAGTTATGACCACTTTCTATTGGAACAATTAGATTCTACTGTTACTTATACTCTGTCTGTGTTACAATGACTACTTAAACTGTTCACTCCACTCATATCATCAAAATGACATGTAGGTTAGTAAATACACAAAACAACACTATTTAGACAAACTGAAAGTAAACTTACCGGTTTGGGATGGAAATCTGGACAAAGACCAATCAGTTCAGGGGGATGTGGTACATTTTTGTATCGACATAATTCAGTTATCAATATTTTTAACTGACGGTCAATCTATGGAAAATTTGATTCATAAGGAACAAAGTAATAACAAAAAAACTTACAGTGTAGTTACTAGGTTCAACATTCTGAAGTTCACGGAAAATTAGTGTTAAAAACGTATCTTCAGAGTCAGAAAACCAGATCGGAGGTGACTGTGGATAGGTGCCCTAAAAGAAATCAAGAGTAAAGGTAAACAGTTCAGTATGGTTGTGGAATAAAAAAATATTAGGTCACTGTGAACTGGAAGAACTGCAGATCTACGACTTTACCGAAAAAACATATTTCACAGACCGTCAGAAATCTCCTAACTTGGCCAATGAGCCTGATGACTGACAACAAGCGCGACCCCAGGTACACAAATTATCAATGTCGGGAAACTGGGAAATAACCATTATAATATATAAATGTTGTTTAGAACAACGACGTTTCGAAGTAATACTACCTAGATGTTGTAAATACGACCACATATCGGAAGATGAGGCACAGAAAAATATTCATTGGGATTCATACGAAGGTACTATGGTTCTGGTAGGTTGAATCTTACCTGGCAACACCGCTTAAAGTACTTGAAATAATGAATCAGTCAAATTTATCAATTTAGTACGATCATACATCTCAAATATCGAGCTGCTGCAAGCCGAGATAAGAATAAAACTTTAAAATCAGAAGTGTTCCAAGGTGTTTTAAATAAATGCATAAATATGGCAAATCTACTTGGTTTTTTGCCATCAAACGAATCAAGGGTTCAAACACTGGGTTGTGGACAGAAGGGTAGTAGTATTTGAAACGTAATCTAACACTAACAGTCCTTACCCCATTATGAATGGCGATAGGTATCAGTCAAATTATTATTGTATTTTATTTCTTGTTGGTTTCCCAGACTTAACTTTCAGAGAAGTAACCTCAAAATGATGCAGTACTTCTAATGTCTGATTCACTCAGCAAGCCTATGGTTGAGATAATACATGCTGGATAACGTCAAACAAATGTGTCAGTTTAATTATTTGCTTCACCAATTACTTGTTTTCTGACGATTGTAGGGATGAGTAGATATGTTGGTGATGCTGTATCAGGTTTATTCAGCTGGTAAAGTAAATTAATTGCACATAATACTTCTGCCCTAATGAAATAAAAACACACTAATACTAATGCGTAATGTCTACAATGTGATCAACACAACAAATACAACGACCAGTGGTGGAAGGTAACTGTACAAAGTTGTTAGGAAAACATAGAAGCTAAAGATCAGTTCTATGATACACTCAGTTAAACATTGAAGCATACGACACCCATTACAAATGATAGGAAAAATTTTTTTTCTTTTTGATTATAGCTTGATTCCACACCGTATTTTTGGTACAAGTATGGAATTTTCAGCATGTGATATCGGTAGCCCAAATTTTGCAGGCCGACCATAGATATCAGGTGCGTTGGCAGAGGATCGAACCCCGGACGATGTTCACGGTCGGCGAGAGTCCTAACCACTGTGCTACCGACGCACAATAAAGAAAACACCCCCAAAAACGTTAACGCTGAGGTAACTGAAGCATTTTTCCTATACAAATATGTCACTTTAGATTGTAGTGACCAATACTCATTTTAGCTATACATTTAAGTGACAGGAATATAAGGACTGAACGTAATGTACTCTTAGCTGTTAGATTTCCAACAAAAGTACACAGCTATAGCTGTGCTTATATGCACTGTGACAATACTAACATTGATATGCTGGATCATGAGACTTGACGTAAATATTAGAATTCAATTAGAGGCTTATCACCGAAATTAGCTTGATGAAAGTGATATGATGGTTCGTATTACATGAATACTGACTGGCACTCCTGTCTCAATTTACAGCTTACCAAAAGACTTCCAGTGATCTCTAAAGAGGAGTTTTCATAAATAAAAGAGCAAGATATCTCATCCAGAGTACATGAGGTGATTCGAAAACGTGGATGGGATTTCGGGAAAATCGCCTGTAATAACTGCTGGTGCTCCTTTAACCTTTTGATGCACGACATAATACAGGACCCTTTGACCTTCAGCCGATACCAGAGTGAGCTACGCGACCTCGAAGGTCACCTATATAAATAAAAGGCGTTTCAATATCCAATATATAAGTTCAGAACAAGTATGTACCACCTGTCATCTTCGTCCTCGCCCCATTAGTATGTCACAGTTTTATTGTTTTCGGTGGATTTCGAGCGATGAAGAAGTACAACAGCGATCAGATGACCATGAAAGAAAAATCCCAATGGGATTCCCAGCTAAAATGATTAAGGAACTAATGTTGAATTGCATTATGAATCTCCATTGTATGTACAGCACTGATTACTATGGTTAATTTGATGAAGCTCATCAATGGATTCTATGCTGCTGGATACGTTTTGGCAAAAGTTGAAAATTGTCAATCAGTGGCACTACAAAATGGCTTGAATATCATTTCATTACGTGGACGACACTTTCACCGTTGACGGTTGGAACCTTAACAAATAAGAGCTTTTGGATGGTGCCAATCATACTTATCCAGCTGTTTACTTCAGGTCCAAAGAATAAGGGAACAACAGTGTATATTTCCTAGACGTTATTCTCACCAAGAGGACACATGGACGTTTGCAAAGGAATCTATTTTCGCAGCTTCACACCTCACCGATACAAGTGAAACTTATTTAAGTGCCTCAGATACAGAATGTAGTGAACATTTTCAGGTGACTGAATAAAGGCAGAAGTGTGTAAACTGCAACCTATACTTCAAGAAAATGGATATCCAGAAAACTTCTTTAGAGAGTTCATGTAGATACCTAGAGAGGGGGTAGAGATAGATCGCGTAGATGGCAGACCTAAGTATGTTCAGTTAGATTGCAAAGCAGAGACTGCCTCAAACACTCTAAAATGCGGAGTTAATAGACAGACTGAGATAGCATATCCTGCAGGCGAAATGGTGCTACCTATCTCAAGTAAACCACTCATTACACAGCTAGTCTGGGATAAAGTGCCAGTCGTGGCCTTACCTAAGTGTGCATCTATGAACTCCAGTGCCCCTGTGGATGTGACCATGTGCCTGTATGATTGAGTAAAAGGGATACCAAATGCTAAAAATTATGGGGTATTAGCCCACTTGGTAGGTTCTCGACGCTTATTAAATCCAAGCAGAGGTTCTCAGCTATAAAACCTTTCACAGTAATCTATCCAGAGGGTCTCAGCTGTATCTGTCAGTAGTTGAAGTGGTAGCAACTGATAGCGGAAGATCTGGACTCCAATAATAGAAGTATGTCCAGACTCTTTGCTTATCTCGGCCAGTAAAAAATCCTCCATACGCGTTGGCATTTTAAATCCTTGTCCCAATTTTCCTCTTCTACCCATTTTTGCTTGACGTTTGTCAATCTCAACCCTTTTGCGGCTTAGTGACCTCTCTTGTTATGTCAATCATTTCACATTATATTTACACGACCGTCCTAATTCCACTCCACCAAATTCTTTGTTACGTAATAATCATCCGCTAAAGCTTCTTTATTATTTACACCACACCATCGTTATTATTCCTGTCCTCCTTGAATTTACGTCTAGCCCATACCATTCAGTAGTTAATTTCTTTCACACCACTGAATATGTACATATCTGAATTCTGCTTTCTTACTGACCATATAGACACACGTCTCTGATTTATTTCATGTTATGATGGTAGGCAGCCTTCTGTAGGCCTGTCATCAGAGTTAGGAGCACACTATATTTGCTGTCAAATCCCGGACTGTCGTGGACTCAGCGACTGCTACGGACACTCACAAGAAGCTCTAGGTGTAATCCGGGTCAAAAGCAACACTCCACTGAATCTTCAGCTGATTGACTGTGGCGGCACTGTGTAAAGTGGCAGAACTCAGTGATATCTAGTAACAGATTTGCTCATTTAGCAAATGATTTACAGTGTAAGCAAAGTATCCAAGCTGTTCACTGGTTGACCATAACGATCAGCAGGAAACGGAAAAAAGTTTGGGTTGTTGCTCAGCTTTGATGGTGACCTTAGTAAACGGTTTACAATTTAACATTTACAAGAACTCGTTCTGATTGCCTTTACAACAATTGAGCAATTCAAACCTTTGAAAAAGTATTAATTTATTATACTTTAGGATTGTAATTTATAATAATACTGATCGTGCTTGTAAAAATGGCATGCATTTCTTGTAATCTTACCCGTTTATACGAAATATAAATTATTATTACTAAAGCCTTTGACTGAAAACTTACCTTACAAACGCTCCTCGTGTTCTGCTTTCTTTGGGTTCATTTTATGTGTTCTTTCAAAGCGCATTTATAACTCTGGAGAGTCAGTTCACCATAAATGGTAGAAGGCTAAAGCACGTCTTTCAAGCATTTTGTTGAATTCACTAACCAATTATAAGAAATCAAACATTGAATGTGTTTGTTTTTGAAATTACCAATGAAGTGTAACCTTTTTCTACCGAGATGGAAGGAACCTTCTCTAATCCGTAAGGAAGATGGGTGTTTCCGAAGGAGGTGAATAAAGCCTTCTAATCAAGGCGGACACTTAACGTTGCAACAGAAGCTCCTATGCACCAACAGGAGCTGGTATCAGCACCAATAAAGAATCTGGTAAGGAACTGCATTAGAGAACACTTTAAAAAGGCATGGTCTCGCGTGAAGCTTATCAATTTTACCATGACTGCCTGTCGTGACTCGCCAAATTATTTCCAGCGTAAATCAGCTGTAACCATCCTCAAATCTGAAAATCCATTTTCACCCTATTGTTTAATAATCTCCAAGCATGTTACACCATTGTGCACTTCTGTTTTCAAGGAGGATCTCGAAAAATAGTCGACAAACAAATTAATATATCCGCGTGATATATGAGAAAGTAGTTTAAGAGACATTACTTTTGATTTTCAACAGTGGTTCAATGAGTAACGCAGTCTTTCCCGATTTCGAAGAAAAACAGATACGGGGGCTAAAAAGAACAGGGAGAAACTCAAGATACTGGACTTAGCCGACCGGGAGGAATTCTAGAAACCCACTTATCTCTCAAAGTAAGCATTCAAATTACCAACCGATGGCTCAGAATGGTGTGGAAGACTAATGCTTTCGGGAACATTTAGTTTCGAAAGCATGCTAGAAGACAAGTGAAGCAGGAAGAATATGGGCAAATCAACAAAGGGGAATAAATCCTTAAGAGATAAAGAAGGCCATAAAAATCATAAGGAAGATGGACTTCAGACTTAGTCCCCCACCCTATACCTCTGAATCCGTCAGTTACAAAATACATCTGAGTGGCCATAGCATACCTTTGCAGAGGTTGGTAATTCTACAGAATCATTGGCCACAGCATTCATCACTGAACATTGGATGCTGACCCTCACTGTTTAAGTCAACTTGTTTAGTTGAGGGCTTCCGGTCAAGCATCCACGCTATTTGGTACGCTGTCGTGTCACCTTCGTTCGTTCGTGTAAAATCCCTAGATAGTTAAGCAATCATCTCGCACGCTGATTTGGGCCCGAAATATATCTCGTAATTTGGACGATCAATTCTTGTTTTGCTTTGCATTTGGTCTACACGGAACGAGTACTATAGAAGTTGTGGATATTAGATATTGCGTTAGTATACTTCTTACTATCCGTGAACGTCAATACCTTCAGCCTCTAAACTGGTGAGCCCTACCGCGAACTTCATCTTTGGTAACTACACAGGAAAATCCGGTGAGTTCGTTCCATTTTGTGTTTATTTGTGTACTATTTTCAAACTATATATATTTCGCCATGAGTGAACATACTCCTAAGGTCATCCGTATTCGCTCAACTGCCAAAACTATCCAGGTCGTACCATTTGGGCCAGGTAATGCTGAATTATGGATTCAGATAGCTGAGTCTGATATTATATCTTGTGTTAGTTTGCTTCTTACTATCCCTGAACCACAATACCTTCAGCCTCTAAACTTTGTTGTCTGTGCCCTACATCATTCCGCATATAGAAGCGACTCTACCTGGAACGTCAGCTCGATCAGCCTATACTTCGTACCTATGCTTAGAATCTTCCATCGAGTGCCTTTGAGACTGTGACATCAGCTGATTAATTGTCACTCTGAATCTGCCTGGCAGGAAGACGCTGAATATACGTAATACGTCTACGTCGAAGAGGATAGGGTTATGCATCCGTTATTTTGCGAAGAAGTGTGATACTGCCATTCATCAGCTTAGTTTACCGCTATCCTTTCCTATTGAAATTGCTATACGAGACTGTAAAATAAGTTGCTCCCCAGTCTGAGTATCCTCTACTGCTACCCAATAGTCAATGTCTGCAAACTGGCCTTTCTGTCAAGAGTACGTTTATCCAGAACCACATAGCAAAGCTTTCTCCATCATGTCCCGTCAGCTTAATCGTTGTGAGACTCATATGTATTTGCTTTAAGATAGGTTCAGATTACACTTCATGAGTGTGGTGAACAGTTATGCCCGGGCAAAAGTATTACTGTTGAATTCTACGACACTTACGTCAAGCCTTCGGAATTGAGACTTCATCCCATGAAAGTCTTCTTTTAATAACGATACTATGTCTATCATTCGCGAAGCTAGTGCTATGGCAATGTTTATCACTAGAGGTTGACCACTCGATATATTCCTTTGGACTGTCAGTGGGTGTTATCTGGGGTAATGGCCACTAAACTAATGCTGGCTTAGAAGTTTAACTAGTCACACTGAAACGAGAACAAAGTGGAGACAGAAGGCAAAACCCAGCTAAATTGAGAAATGTTATAACTCACATTGAATTGAATTAGAACCGTAGTCACTTTGTTCTGTCTGAGCCTTCCTAATACGCCCATCTGCCTGTGGTACCTACAGATTCACTGAGTCACGCAAATGTCAAAAGACAAAGGCTGGCCTGTGACTGTATATTGTAGTCACAACAACAACTACTAGGAAAAAAACACATGGTATTTATATGTTTTCTTTACAACAATAAAGTTGGCCTCACAGCCGTGAGAAAATGATTGATAGCATAACTAATCACTACATGCGTGAGGAATGATGGTATACTACTTTATTTTGGTTCCTATGAAGAAAGAAACCGCTTGAGGAG